GCGGATGCCAGGTATATGCAATGCAAAGGTAATGGCGCTCACCACTAGCCAAAAAAGTACACCAAAGGCGTGTGGATGTTGAGTGCACCAAGATCCTATAATGGTAAGCGAAAGAATGTCTCGCTTTGCACAAACTGAACATGATGCAGGGGCCCTAATCTACGTCGAATGTGGAGATCTAGCGGCACGCTTGATCGGGATCAGATTGTGGTCTGGCGTATGCTACTACCACATGCACAATGCCATTTAGGGTTCATGGAGGCGCAGTACGCTTGCTAAGATTGGTTTGGTCTCATCTAAACCATCTTGAATGCCACATCTTGAATGCCACATCTTGATCCCCCTCTACATATCCTGCATCAACTTCGTTTGCTGCCGCTTGGTGTGTCTGACATGTCTAATTCAGCCGATACAGTTCAAGCGCACTATTCATAGAAGTCATGGACGAACTTGATACCCGCAGAACGATAGCCCCACATTAGCGACTTTTCCAATACTATGATTGTTGATCAGCCATCTGTCGCGAGTTGTCCTACTTGCGTTCGGCCGCATCTTCCCAGATGCATCTGGTGCACATGCAATCGCCTCCCAGCGCTCCGACAGCCCACTCTCGCCTTTCCTTGACTGGAAGCCGCACATCGCAGTAGTGACCAAAAACTTCCTCGTCTTTCTTCAGCCCGGGTCCCTTGGTTGGGTCTCTACCCTTCCAGTCCACAAGCTCCTTACGTGTCCAGAACCGCATAGACCCACGCCACTCCCACGCCACATTTGGATCGCAGCTGTGATTTGCAAGACACCACATGGGGTGAACAGCGCTAATCTCAGGTCTCCCATCCATTCCCTGTTGTGCTGATGCTGTTCCTCGGAATTTGGCATACAGCGTGTTGAAAACCCAGGTGTCATAGCGATCGCTTTGGGTAAAGATGTTCACATCCATCTGCTCTAGAACATGGATTGGCATGAGTACATTGCTCTTGAAGGAAAAGGACAATGTTTGCGGCACATTTCCAAAAGGATCAGTCAGATGACCTGCTGAATCGGTTTGCCACACAGTATCGAGATCCTTTCCATGATAGTCACCCCAAATGTAGCGGACCTCTTTTAGCTCTAGGGGGTGAAGCTCCTGGGTCTCTGCCAATGCCAGTGCACGAACAAGCAGAAGGCTATAGAGATGATCGGCTGCTTCACGAGCAGACACCTTGCTTTGGTCGACGCTTACTCCACATATCGAAGGGTGGTAGTGATCTTGGGCGAGGTCATGGCATTCTTCGCTGCAGAAGAAGACCTCGTTGCATTCTTCACACGTTATGTTTTCGCTGGCTGTGTCCGCGGATTGCGAGAGAGGTATGCTGCAAGCATCGCAATATGACTCGTGTAGTCTCGATATGCCAGTGAGAAGCGACTTCTCTTCTAGTATGGTTTCTCCAGGGGCTATATCCTCCTTGGCAAATAACCCTAGTTGCTTGGTAAACTGTGATTCTGGACATTTCCCGTCTACAGATGAGGTAGTGGCGAGAAGAGGTAACTCAGAGATCCTCACTTCCAGTTTTGGTGCTATTTCTGTTAGTTCTTCGTTGAGAAAGTCCAAACATTCTGCCGAGAACCGATCTGGCTCGTGGTCATTCCAGGGATATTTTTCTCGACGAACAAGTCCTTTGTCGGGATAACCATCGACCTCGATATCCTCAAAATTTTCTCCGTTCTGCTCACAGTAGGATTTCAGGCTTTTTGACAAAGAGTCATCGTGGGTTTTGAAGGCAGTATCATCAGGGAATGCTTTCATCGCGCGAGCAATGTAGTCGAACGCACTGCGCAAGCATCCACAGTCTAATAGGCTTTCGATAAGGATATCATGCCTCGACAAATCAGCTTCTCTTAAATTTTTCAATCAATCCAGAATAGCTTACATACGCTGTTCTTGACCACTGTGTTTGCGCATAATTCGTGATGTCTTCATACTCTGAAGGAACGGCTTCTTTTTCGGCACTCATGGATAAGTCGGCCATCTTTTCTGGAACAAGATCTGTGCGTGCAGCCTCTAGGGCTTCATCATGGTATTCGCCTTCTTCAACCAGCTCATCCACTAATATCAGTGCTTTATAGGCATCTCCTACAGCAAGATCTGGATAGCCAAGATCCTTATAGGCTCTGGCTAGGTTCAGCCGATGCGCAATGCTGTAAGGCTGCTCAGGTGTAGCGTGCTGCAGTGCGACCAATTTCTCAGTCAATTGTCGACGCAGGATGATCATATCCTGCCATGGTCAGGGATGGCGATGAAACCCGGCAAATTGTAACTTGCCTCCATTTTTAACAAGTATTGAATGGGGAGTCGCCGTGTTCTTGTTGTGCCGCTTTTTCTTCTACAGAATCTTCTTTGGGGTACATTGTGGGGACCATCATTATCGATAAAGACGCTAGCTCCATCCAGTCTCCCCTCACCAGAACCACTATGCATCCCCTACACTGGACATGTCTATTTGAAGTCAGCCAGTTCATAGAGTATTGAAAAAGCAACCTCTACAACTAAACACCATGCTTCCATCTGCAGCCGAGTTAGTGGCGCGATTTCTGAGAGCTAATGGATACAAACAGGTGACGTCACCTCATCCTTGAGCTAGTATACACCCACTTACACCAGATTAGACATTGAGCAGCTTCGTGCAGGAAGCTGAACTGCCTCCTGATATTGGCGCAGCCCCGAATGACCAGGTCACAATTGAGTCTGTCTTGCAAGAGAAGAAGAAATTCGATCTTAGCCTCAACTTTGAAAAGCTTGGTATTGATGACACCAAGCAAGAATGGACTGTCCAAGCACCTGCCGATCCGAAGGTCGTAGGAACTCTCCCAAATCGGTCGAATATACTTAGTGTAGCGGTCTTGGATCTCTTGCTACCATCTGCAACAGACGTTCGGCAGTATATTGCGGTCACTACTGCTGACCGTCACTTACACTTGATGGATCCACACACTCAAGAGTTTGAACTTGCTCACACATTTTCCGGTTTCCAAGATTCACCGATTTTGGATGTCGTACCTGTAGATACTCAACATATCCTGATCGCTTCAATGTCAGGCAAGCTGACTCTATTCAATACGGCCAGCAGCACTGTGATAGAAGAACGCAAGGACCACAACAAATATCTCGTCAAGATATCTACTTTTTCGGTAGACGAGACTTCCATCTTCGTCGCAAGCGCAGGTTGGGATGCTAAGGTATTCCTATACAAGCTTGATATCAGCACCGAAAAGCCAAGGCTCGGGGACCCAATAGCAACTCTAACATTACCGAGTATACCAGAATCAACCATGTTTGTCACATTGCCTGGAGATGGCACGCCCACCCTTATAGTTGCTAGAAGAGACTCTACATTCCTGCACTATTACTCCGTTCCCAGCTCAGATTCACCAAATTTCACCCTTCTAGGGAAGCAAAACCTTGCTCCTCACTCAAACGCTTGGGTGGCGTTTACTCCCTCTGATATAGAGATCTGTCCTACAAATCCACATATGATCGCTGTCGCAACATCGAGGTGAGTCTATGCGCATGAGATGCATGTGATACTGTACAACTACTAATGTGTGATCTATTGCGTGTGCAGCACGCCACATATGAAGTTGCTGATAGTAAAGCTTCTGCTCCCCCCCACACGCTCTTCTGGACCCGCTGCGGGTGTTAATGCACACTCAGATGGAGCTGTCACACAAGCGTCGCAAGCTCGGGCTGAACTGGCTATTGCGGATAAGGAGGAAGCCGCTATATTAGTCAACGTATCCACTCTGGCGCCACAAACATCTTACTCAACGCCACGCTTGGTTTGGCGTCCGGACGGTTCAGGTGTGTATGTAAGCTCTGATGATGGGGTCGTACGCGGTATCGAGGCAAAGAGCGGGAAACTGGTTTCGTCTCTGGAGGCACATGATGCTGGCTCCAAACTCCGTTGCCTCTGGTCTGGTCACATCATGAACAATGGCGAAAAGGGCGAGTACCTGATAAGCGGTGGGTTCGACCAGAAGCTCATTGTTTGGAGATCTCGTTGAGTTGACAAAATTCTCGACTGTCTGCATTTGTCAGTTTTTGGACCGGCTTCATTACGATGAGCCAACGCCTGACTGGTAAGCGACCTTCTGCGCCAGAGCCAAGCCACCCAATATCCGAATTACCTATACCTGTTAAAACAAAATGAGTCCGCGTTTTTCACAAGTGAAGTCTCGGTATAGAGCGAGGAGGAGTTGGTCGCGAACTTTATTGATTATGTAGGTTCGAATCTGCAGGCTGTTCAAAAACGTCACAATATCATTGACTATCATTACTAGAGCTTCAGCATCGGCGGCTATCATAACTTTGAATTCAAGCTATTATAATTGAAGAAGCAGACGTGATGCTAAAACTCTACTACCCCGCAGGTTATGGTTGTACGTAGAGCTTAAACTGTATCTCTCTTTAGCACCGCGAGCTAGGCTATTGAAATTTACCTGCCTCATATGTAATACTTAATGAATACCTTGAGCTACGTTTTTTTTGGCAGCTTCTGCGGTGGCGGAGAAGCCAGACGTAGAGAAGAAGAAGGCCAAGAAGGAAAAGGCCAAGAAGGAAGCGGCGGAGGAAGAATATGCTTCAATTGGAGGCTCATCCTTGATCTGATCGGTGGTCGGCTGATTTTCATCCCTAAAATGTTCCATAATTTTCGCATAAATCTTGCCTTGTGCGGTAAGTGTAAGTTCTACATTAGTTTAGCGATTCTCCTATATCGAGGTAACTTGAATAGGGAAGTATTCTTTATGCTCTAGCTTAGGCACTGCATTTTCTAGCTTGAGGGAGTAGTTTTAGAATTCTTTTTCATTTCTCCTTGTTTAGCCACTACACTAATTCCGAGCCAAAAACACTATATCTGGCTACTTCAGAGAACCAATGTATAGTCAACACATTCAATTGACATGCCTTGACCTGCAAGCCAAGACCAACACGAATTGCTTTGTCCGGTTATGTACGTAAAGCCACGCTACACGGTATATAATGCACAGCTGAAGCTGAAGATGCGGTCTGCTGAAGACGTCCAGTCTGAAGAGCGGTGAGATCTTCGTGGGTGCTGCGGTGTGTTTGAAAGAGCTGACAGAGGTTCAAGAATGATTCGACAATAATCATGAGGCGTATCCAATGACGCTTCACGGTCCTGCAGGATCTCGGCCACCGGCTCGGGTATGGCCCTAGCAAAGATCCCGGGGAAACGGGTGGACCCTATGGCCTCACTTTTCGACGCCCCCTTGACGCCACCGCCCACACCAGCCAGGTGAGCCTGGACGACGACAGAATGAAAACTCTCAGCCATTAATAGGTCATGGTATGCACCGGTAGAAATATGACATTGATGAGCCCGCGGAAGAGAAGGCATAAGAACAGCGCTGGTACTACCATATGTCCCAGAAGTCATCTTGTACGATTCTATCTTCCGAAGCCAGACTTCATTTTCTTTTCACATTCTCCCACTCTTTATAGGTATACCGAAAAGGCTATTCTGTCTCATTTGTACCTGGAAGCTACATAATTGTTCATTTTTCAAACTTTTCAACTTCAGCTACTTGCTTCTCGCCGGCATGTCGTACCCAGGCTTATGGAAAGAGGGGGATGGAGATTATTTGCTCGTGGTATCTGGCGTCACGCGCTATGCACCATACCTAGCTGGATGGCAAGAATTCAAAGATCATCTTCGTAAAGTGGTCAAGGAGCAACCAGGATGGGCTGATGTGTACTCAAGCCAGGGCCATAGAAGAGGAGAGATGCAAGGATGGTGTCGACTAAAAGACAGGGAAGATGCAGATGCGGTATTCAGTATGTATACTTGGTTCCAAATAACGGTGAGGCACAACTGATTTGATGGCAGAAGTATATCACAGAGCCAAAGGCATGCTTGTGCATGTCTGGGAAACCAGCCGTAGGGGTGACGGTTACCGGTTGATGCGGTGTAACTGTTCTACAGCATTTCCTGAAGTCCCAGAAGGTGGCCACTCCAATGGGCGTTGCGGCATTGACATTGCAAGAGTGAACCAGTTGGGGGGTGGCAGAGCGGCACCTGTTGAAACGTCAGCTCCATACATGTCAGCACAGTCCGGCTACATGTATTCGACATATCCACAGATGCAAGCCTATCCACAGCAGCAGCCAGGATACGCCCATGTTCCAACTTACCCAGCCTACCCTCTGTCAAATCCACCGGTGTACTCGACTACTACCAACGGAATCCCCGTCAACATCCAGGGTGGAGCCATACTCACGGAAGCTCGAGGTATCTTTATTCGAAATTTGAGCTTCAAATGCACTATGGATGACCTCAATGCTCTACTGTTGCAGACTGTAGGCTATGCAATTGACATTCAGTTCATCCGAGACAACAGGACAGGGGCTTTCAAAGGCGCCGCCACTGCCAAGTTTGCCTCGAAAGAGTTGGCGCAAAACGCGGCAAACAACTTGAACGGCACAGTGCACATGGGAATGACACTACACGTGCGCATGGACACCGACGCCACCGTCGTGGGGCAGACCGAGCCAATGGTTGTGAATGGGTCGTACAGAGTGAGTCCATTCACACAACATTCAGAGACGATAGACTAACCATATGCAGCCGTAATTAGTTGTTGTAAAACGTGGGATGATATTATACTATTGCATTTCATGGAGTCTGCTGGTATCATTTGGTAGGCAACACCTCCAGAATAAGAGTCGGTGATGAGATGCAAACATGGCCCATAGCGTTCTGATTGTTTTTTCTGAGATTGGTGCAGTTGTCTGGAAGCCACTGGAAGACTTTCCAGGGCCCATAACCAATAATGTGGCTTGTTTCATCGGCGTTGCTTTAGCATCCCTTTCACAACTAGCAGAAGAAATATGTAATGCGGGTGGCCAAACCTCGAGTATGAGTATGCGTAATGAGTAACAGAGTTATGCAAGATATCAAACTACATAAACTCTATGTTTCAAGCGACGTTGCGTGCAGCAAGGCAATCTCCGAGCCGAGGAGATACAGGGGCTTCGAGACACGATGGATTGCTCGGTTATGCGTTGAACCCATGGTAAACAAGACTCTTTGTGGAATGTGTCACAAACTCCAACGTCGAGTGGAGTCTTAACAGTCATGAATAAGAAAATACATCTGCAGTTCCAAGTCCCTGGTTGGCTCGAGGCCAGATTGGGATTACATCGGCATGCTCTCTATGCGGCACTCTGAGCGAATTACTAGTGGCTCCCGTCATTGCAACCACCCCTGTAAATATTCGCTATGTTAGCGCGGACGCCCATAGCACACTCGGTACACAAGCGCTTGTTCGCGTATCGAAAATGGGTTTCTCCCCATGTTGTACCCACACCAGCACATGCGGACTGCATCCGAATGACCAGCTCCTCGGGTCCCTTGGATCGATCTGTCATCAAATAGCCTGAATACGGGACCTCAATCGGTGCCGGATTAAGTGGGGCCAGACACTTCCACGCCTCTGCCCGGGTTGCTAATATCCTCGCCACGAGAAAGAATCATTACCCGGTTTCCGAATAAGTGAGGGGAAACGGGACCAGTGGCGTACTGTATGCCTTGCTGGGAGAAAGACTACACTGTGGCATGAACCACTACGCATATTTATATGAGAAACATGTCATGCCGCATCACCTGTCGTACAAGATTAAGAGAAAAGAAAAAGAAACGAGCCATGCATGGTTATCGGCGCAGACACGCAAATGTCTTCAGGGATCATGGCTACAGTGGGGGCAGTGATCTCGCTCCCAAACCCTGAGACGAAGAAAACGCCTCCAGATCGGCCAGCCAAAGCGTCTTTACAAGCACAAGATCCGCTTCTGGAATCAAAGGGATAAGAGCTGAGGGCAGAATGGAGCTTTTTTTATTTTATTTTATTTTCATCTGGTTCGGCTGGCGCCATGGCTGACTGCCAAGTGCTCCAGCTGGATCGTCACGCTCCACAAAAATCACGAGTTGTGCGTGTTAGCATGCATACAAATGCATGCCCAGGACACGACGCGTGTTGCGGTTTACCGCCATGGCTGCAAGGGAAAAATGAATTAGTATTTGTGCAGACGTGGGACATATGAATCTCGTCAAGAGATATATGCGTGTGTGCGAAAACGGAGAGAAGTAGCTATTACATCAGCCAATAACAAGGAACAGGGGCTCACTGACATGTTGGAATCTTGAGTGTGCATGTCGTGTGGCCGAGGTTACGGTGGGAGATATTGGGGAGGCAGACGTGTCCCACCACCACCCATTATCTTCTAGAACGAAGAATCTGGAACTCTCATCATGTTGAATCGTACGTTTTTCTGTAGCTTTGTTTTGATTTCATCTGGTGATCTGAGTATGCCCATCAACTATGCGAATACGAAGCACGTGGGAAAAGGCGTTGAAGAGAAAAGGAAAGACAAAAGACAACGTACGTTGATTTAACGACGCTCTTCGCTGCACTTGAGCCCTATGTTTTCTTTTGACTGGAGGAGGAAGAAAAGGAAAATTGAAAACAGACATACATATGCCCAATTGCCAGATTGGGAGTTTGAAGCTTCTGGTAGTTAGCAGTGCAGATGCGACCTTACGTCCAAACACCAACGTAGGGTTGTTGTCAGTATCACGGCATCATTACTACAAGCAAGAACCCAGTCTCCATCTAATCCAACCTAGACAACTAGCACAAAACCCCCCTCTCTGTGAACTCACCGACCCAGTAACTTCCCATTGAAAGCCGCCTCTCTACAAAAAGTCAAGTCTCCAAATGCACTCACTATAGCACTCAACGACACTTTAGCAGATGCTGGGCTAGGGTACAGTACACAGGCCAAAAGTAGATAAATAGAAATCGGACCGACTCCGGCACGCCCTCGGCCAAACTCTAAGTCGTCGTGCCGAAAAGACCCTGAGGATCATCAGCAAGCCACTGGTCGCGCTGGGGGTATGTTCCTTGTAAGGCTTGGTTACAGGGGTGGAAGAGGGAGAAAAAAGTAAAGGGTTTCTGTGCTATGGTTTTGGCCGATGATGTTCGGAGAAGCTTAGTACAATGGGAAATTTTTCTTTCTGATAAGACTGCAAGGGATTCGAGAAGGTGTTTAGATTGTGCGAAAAGAAGATGGGTATTTGTGAGTTGGGGAGTAGTAAGCAAGTAAATGGAAGCAAGCGTTCTTGGGAACTGGAGACAGGGGGAAGTCTAGGCATCTTAGTTTGAAGAGTCTATGATGTTTGTCTCAGGCACACAATCAGCAATTGATTGAGGACCATGGCTTTTCGTAATTGAAAAGGCCTTGATATCTAGACGACGATCTACAGTATCTATATACTACAGCCAGGCGCTTACCATACTATCAGGAAAGACATCTCTACCGGGTACCGACCATCTCATCTAATCCCATCACTATTCAATCCTGACACCATTCACAGCGGAGAATCCAACGGCCAACCTCAATTCACATCCTCAACATCTTCTCCACCTCTTGCTCCCCTAACCGCTCCACCCCATCCACACCCACAAGTCTCTCCGCAACCTCATCCACAAAAACCTTCCCAACACCCTCAACACTCAACCCCTCGCACCCCTCACGCTGCAAACTCGTCGTCCTCTTCCCCTCCAATCCACACGCCACAATGCGATCAAACCACCACAAATCCGTATCAACATTCAGCCCAACCCCATGACTCGTCACATTCCGCCGCATATGCACGCCAATGGCCGCGATCTTATCATCAGGACTCGTCCACACACCCGTATGCTCCGTCGTCATAGCCTTGACACCAAACTGCGCACACGTAGCTATCACACTCTTTTCTAGCAGACAGACATAATGCCTGGGCGTGAGCTTGTGCGAGCGCAAGTCGAGAATTGGGTATGCGACGAGTTGGCCGGGTCCGTGGAATGTGGTTTGCCCGCCTCGTAGGGCTTCGACGAAGTCGGCGCGGCCGTCTGCACGCAGATGGGCCTGTTGGGCTGGGGAGACGCTGCCGATTTCGCGGCGGCCGCAGGTGTATACGGGGTGAAAGGAGGCGGTTATGATGTGTGGAGGGGGCAAGGGTGTGGTGGAGGGCGGCTTTGCGGCGAGGAAACGGGAGACGAGTGTTTCTTGCAGGCGGGCGGCTGTGGCGTAGGGGACGAGGCCTGGGAGATGGATATGAAGGAGTTTTTGCCGCATTGGGCTCACTATAGAAGTCATTATTACATGTGCATGCTGTTGGGGGGGTTGTGGGGTTGAGCGATTGTAAGGGAGACCGAAGCCGTTGATAGTAGCCTTTATCGATAAAGATTTTGTGACGCGACGCGACATGTCCCTCCAGATCTCTTTCACACTCCCTCCACAACCGCAACTCGTTTTTCGTACCGCTCGGAACAATGGCTGGAAAGAAGCGCTCGGTAAACGGCCAGGTCAAGGCTCAAACTCAATCAGCTTCGGCGGCTCAAGACATCACAATTACTGATGCGACACCACCATGCGGGCAACCACAACCACCCTCGAGCAAGACTACCTCATCGCCCAGTACAACATCAGCGAGCAAAGAAAACCCAACAGCCGCTCAGAAACCAACAAAAAAGGGTCAACCGAATTCTAAACCCCCAGTACAACCCTCAACCCGCCACCCCACCACCCGTTCAAAACGTCAAAAACTCGCCAAACTCCCACCCAGTACGTCTTCTCCCTTCCCCCCGTCCTTCCTTCCTTCCCTCCCTCTCCCCACTAACTCCAACCCCACAGACGCCAAAATATCCAAACGGCCCCTCCTCCACCCCGCCCTCCCCACCCCCTTCGCCTCATCCCAGCACCCAAAAGTCCTCTACATAACCGCCTCGAGCCCCTACATCTCCGCTCTAAAACGCGTGCGCAAGCTCCTGGCGCAAATATCCCAGCGACACAAGCAATCGGTTTCGACGCGGGAAAAAGCGCTGGGTAGAGGGCGCTTCGCAGAGGCAAACGGGAAGCTGGATGCGCGCACTGTGGAGCGCGAGATAGCGGGGGAAGCGGCGCGGAAGAGAGGTGCAGACGGCGGTGCGGGTGGCGGAGAGGAAGTATATCTCAAGGCGACGGGGAGAGCGATACCGCGGGCGCTGGAGATTGCGTTGTATTTCCAGGCCGAGGCGGATTGTAGGGTGAGGATTGAAATGGGGAGTGTGAGTGCGGTTGATGATGTCGAGGTTGGTGTGGAAGGGGAGCAGCAAGGACGGGAAGAAGCAGGGGGCGACGATGAGGAGATTCCTGAGACGAGGTTACGCATGGTGAGTTCGGTGAGTGTTAGTATTGGGCTCAAGTAAAAAAATAAAAGCGTATCGGAATATCTTCTTTTTTTCTTCTTCTTGTTGTTCAACAAGTGACAATATGAGTCCCTTTTTGGTATGTACATACAAAGCATACCAAACACCACATAGTAATCTATCCCAGACCATGCATTCAAGAGAAGTGAGAAAAAAAGGCTCAAGGCAAATATTTATCATTGAAGAAAGGGTTGTCCGGAACATAGGAGAATGTGAAGAAGGAAAATGAGGTTATCACGAGCGACTTTGTTTCCATCCCTCCCTTCCAACTAACTCCCCCCCAATTGTGCCTCACCCTCCACCAACTTTACCGAACAACACACACAGTCCGCCTCCCTAATCCCTTCCCCTCGACCCATCATAAGTTCCATGATGCCAATTTCCAACGCAAAAAAAAGTAGTAGAAGAAAGAAGAAAAGGAAAGAAGAACGAACCAGTATATTCCAAAGCAAAGCCAACCAAACACAAAACAAGAAAAGGAACTCTGCAACAAAGGAAAATATAGTCAGTTAATCCCCCATCGGTCCTTCCAAAGAATGTCTGTCGATATGCGCGTATGGCTCAAGGCAGAAGAACAAGTAAACATGTCCCTCGCTTTTCACCAACGCCCCTTTGAACAAAAGGTGAAGAGAGAGGAAGAAACTCCCATGTAGCGGATTAAGGAGACGCAAAAAAAACGGACATGATTATTTCCCAAAGTATGCGGCACGCAAAATGGCCTCCGTCCCCAGTTCCCTCGAACGCCGAGTAAGATATAAGAAAAAGATGGGCATGTCCCCCGACGCAAAGGGGGCAGCCGGGATGGTGTACGCCGGAGTTGTAGGAAACAGGCAAGGAAAATATTGTTGTTGTGCTGGTCTAATGTCGTTACAAGACATTAGGTGTGGTTTGAAGTAAGCGTCCAGGTATCGGTATGTGGGTGATGTTGTTGGATATTCGATTGGATGTCTAAGGCAGAATGGCTGTATTTGGTGAGGTCGTTGCAGTCATAACGATAATGTTGGAAAAGATGCGTCATGTTGGCGCAGCACCGTGCATAAGGAATGCAACAAGCGCTGCGGCCAATAGTGCAAGAAGCAGGAGAAGTTGTAGTGTGACCCGAGCTTGCTAGGGTGAACATGTCGATGTCTTGTGTGTTTGGCCTCTTCTCTTGTAATGCTCAGACTCTAGCAGTTGCCATGACTGTTGACCAAGAGCATCGTGCCTTCTCCAAAAGCCACTTCTAATGTCGCCGCCCCGGGAGACCAGCTTCTTCCGGTAGGACAGAACTCCATCTTGCACTCGTCTGCTCAACGCTCGCCCTTGGGGTATTGATTAAGCATGGCCATGACAGCTACACCTATTGCAACGACTGTCACCATTGCTCCGACCGGACCACCATAGTACATAGAATCTCGATCTAGCCTATGAGCGACCAAGGCAGTCGATTTCCCTGACTGCTTTGCGCCGTTCTGCGCAACGGCATGCCCATTTTGTTGGCTCTGCGCAGGAGGCGACGTTTCTGGGCCATCGTCGCCAAGATCTTCTTCTCTGATAATGGTGATTTCGCCCTCTTCAGCCTCGTTGACATCAGCATCGGCCTTTACGTCGGGTTTCGCAGATGCAGCGTCATTTCTGCTTCGCCAGAGAGCGTCCTTACTGGCGGCTTTTGCATTGTCCTTTCTGATGTTTTCGATCATCTCTGCTAGCGACTTGCTGTTGGCTTCTGCGCTTTCGGCTCGCTCGCGGTAGCGCTCCATCTGCTGCTTCATCTCATTCATTTCCGACATCATCAGGTCGAGACGAGACTGCAGCCGCGCTGCAGTATCATCGACAGTTGGAGGGACAGGGCTTCCGTTCTCCAAACCAGTAGGCTCTTCGTGCTCTGGCTCAATCGGGTCGATTTTTTCCGAGTCGTCTTCTCCTACTACGGTCTCCGCATCACTGTGGTCCCGGTTCGTCTCACGCTCAAGACGAGCCGCTCGCTCCTCGGCGTCTTCTCTTGCGCGGCGCTCTTCGTTTAACAGAGTCTCCAGATCGCGTAACCGCATGCCTTGTAGTTCAATCTCCTTCTTGGCATTGGTCAAGGCTTCAGTGAGCGTAGACAACTGTGGGTCGGAGCGTACAGGCGAGCCGGTCTTGGCGCGCTCAGTGTCTGACCTTTTAAGGGAAGATGCAACGTCGGGTTTTTCAGGCAAAGGTTGCTGTGGCGGAGGAGCTGGTGGATCTGAGAACCTAGCCTTTAGACTGTTATCCTTGATTGGAGAGATCTTGACTTGGTTGATGGGAGATGACTTGGAAGGTTCCTTCTTGGGATCTGCGGAGAGGATAGCATTGATGTATTGGTGGGCTTGTTGGAGATCTTGCGACTGTTGCTTGGCAGCTTTAATCTCCGTCTACTGTTGTTAGCATCATCAAGCAGGGGTATTCATCAAGTTGGACTCACGTTGAGCTTCTTGACTACCTGCTCCATTGTTATAGGCTGCAACCAGAAATTAGGATGGCGGGGTTGTGGGAGGCCATTTGTGTAATTGGGCATGGCACCAGGACCCTGGAGCCGCTGGCCGTTCATGGAACTCTGACTGCCAGTGCGACCTCGCATACCCGGCATTTGTTGTTGGTTGCCGCCGCCCATCATGTTTGACATTTGGGATCCTTCGAGTTCGCCGAAATTGAGGTCCATCATCTCATTACTCGAGCGGGTATATATGCCGGCATGTTCAACACGTGCTGCGACCTTGTGGTGCACAATGGTCTTTTGATCTTCGCTGACAATATCGATACCGAGTTCCAGCATGTCTGATTCGCGTAGCTCGTGTGGCTCCGAATCTCTGTTCTCTTGTGACAAGCGGGAGCCGTTGACGAAGGTTCCATTGGACGACTTGACATCTCTGATCCATATCTTGCCCTGTCGGTCTGCCCAAACCTCGGCGTGCTGTCTCGAGAGAACCTTTGAGTCGAAGTATCCGTTAAGCGGGGTGGGTATTGTCTTGTTGTTGGTCTGTCTGCCGATGCGGAGGACGTCGGGGAAGAAGGGGACGGTGATGGTCTTGCGCTCAAACGTGCCGTTCATGGGGACGAGGTGCAGGACGGCGGTGCTCTCCTGGCCCTGTGCCCGCTGTGCGCCGTTGGCCTGTTGCTGGGCCTGGCCGGGGCCATTGTGCTGCGAGGGGACCATTGCAGAGGGGGCCTGGAGGGCGCTCATGGCCGAGGCGGCCGAGGAACCAGGGCCTGCGGAAGCGATGGGCTGTGTTCGTGCTGCGGTGATTCCTGCGATGGGCTCAGTCTTTGTTGCGGGCCATAGTCCCTTTGGGGCTTTTGCTTTGCGGGTGGCAGCCCAGTCGGCGGCGTTGAGGGGGGCGGTACCGTTTGGGTGTGATGAGGATGACGAGGCAGAGAGGGTGGAGGATGCAGATGCTTGTGACGACAGGCTCGACGACGAGTTTGAGCGCTGTGCACTCTTCCGCGGCATGAAGATGGCACCGCCGTTGGGGACGCCCTCAGCGCTCCATGCCTGGCGGTTGATATTCTGGTAGTTGACGGGGGGCGCGACTGCCGTCATTGGCAAGGTGGTGGGGAGGGCAGGGCGAGGTTGTGTTTACAGAGTCCAGCGTCACTTTTCCTGCACGCTTCCCGTGGTCTCCGTTTTTAGCGGCGCGACAGCAGCGTGACAGGCCGCCAAACAAGCAACGAGGGCACGACGGGGGCTCAGGTCGCTCAGACACTCATGCGTCGCGGCGGGAGACACTCGCGCAGAGGTGTCGGGTGTCGGGTGTCGTCTGGCGGGCGGGTGGGTGTATAGAGGCGTGTGTGTGGGTGCTGCTGGCGGAATGCCGTGCGACGTCGAGGAGCGATGGTGCAGGGCTTCGCAAGGCTGCAACGGGGGCACGCAGCACAGCAACAGCCTCTCTGTTGGGTGGGCCGGGCTGGTGGATGAGCGGTGGTGGGGGAGGGCGGTATGGATGGCGGCTTGGGGAGAGCAGGAGGTGTCGTCGGGCTCGTCTCACTGCACTGCTTTAGTGGCCAGATGGGCGAGGCGACGGCGCAGGCACAGGCGTGATGCGGGCGTGGAGAAGACTGCCGCTTCGAAACAACGACACGGCAAAGACACCGAGATGGGACACGACAGGCCGGGAGTGGGTGAAGCACTTGTTTTCTGCAAACTGCACACTGCACGCGAAACACCGGACGGGCCTCGAAACCATTTTCGCCTCATTTCACGCTGCCGCCCGTGAAGGGGGCTTCTACAGTGGTCACGTGTCCCGGCCAGGGTGTGTGTGAAGTCCTGACTGGGTGGGCCGGATTGCTTGGCCTCTTCATCTCCCACCGGACGGGCTATCAGGACTTTGCAGGCAGAGGTGTCGGCTGCACATGCGCAACTACGTAATAGCAAATAGTGATAAAAATACATGCATACATAATACATACATACGTCCTCGTACATGGACTACTACAGGCTCAGCTAGCTGCTTTGGGCATCCTACGGTTATGCTTTCCCCAGACTTGGGTGGTGTCCGCTTGGCGCTGCTGCTCGAGCCGCGGCGGCCAGAGCAAGTGCAAGCTTCAATGCGGGACCGTCGCTGCAGCTGCCAACCCATTTCTGCCTCCCCTCGCGCCCTCTCTCCATCTCTCGCCCTCAGTCCTTCGCAGCGCCCTCACAATGCCTGTGCCAGTCGGATCCATGCCCCAGGGCGCCCATGGCCCCTCCACGCTTGACAAGCGTATGCTCCCGTGCTCGCATCTGCTTGAAAACGTCTAACACCATGCAGTCAAGATGGGTGGCATGATGGGCGGATGTATGCTTTTCCACAACCACACCTGAAAGATTCGAGCGCCCTAACACATGTCCAGCGGTTGGTCTAATCATTGGCTTCATTTTTGGTGCGCACAGCCGTCAATGTCCCCCGCACTCGTTCTGACGGTCCTAGGATTCACCAACATTGTTCGATTCGGCCCAGGACCAAACGGAATGCTTAGAACACTCGGCCAATACATGATGGGCTCAGCTGCGACCTTTGGGTATGCATCGCCCGCCTTGCAATCTCTTTTGCGCTGACATCCCACCAGCTTCTTCATGGCCATTGGCACCACTATCCGCACAGAAAGTTCCCCGATTGCTACACAGGCCTTTAACAGCGCCAACCGCAGACCTATGATCCTCCCCAGGAGCTTCCAATACCCACGCGCCGCTGGCAATGAGAAGAACTAGATTTTGGGTTGCCCGCAACATCCTGGAATATTTTACAGTTGTAAAACAAGTACGATTGGAGATGAAAACTACATAGGCGTGTATGATAAGTAGCGAGGTTGCCCTTAATAGTGCAGCTGGAATACAGTAACCGCAGAGGTTCACACACAAAAGGTTTGTCTAGCACTGGCTTCACAGTTAGCATTCACCGTGATCCTAGAGAATATCACTGCGCTGTAGACCCTTGGCTCACTCATCACTGTACCTGGGCGTGTATCTCACGCCACAACTCTTGTTTGCATGTTGCACTGACTCTCTTCTTACCCCACAACAATCGCTGCAGAAGCCACGAAAGCCTGCACAACCAACTCGTGACCTTGCCCAACCGCTTATTTCCTCCAGCAAAGGATACACATCCGGAAAATGACTTTCTTCTCTGGAAACAATACGTCTAGCTCACATGAATCTCCTGCAACTCACAGTCGTCGCCCAGGTTTCACTAGACGTAACTTATTCCACTTCACGCCTAGCAGTGACAGCGAGAGCGGCAGAACCATCAGGCTCAGCAGGGATGTACGGAATTACGGACCCCTCATACAAAAAGCCACCGAGGCAGTTCGCGGCCAACACGAAGGGAAGGCGCCAAGGAAACCCCTGCAAAAACATGGCTTGAGCATACCTTTTGCGAAGCCTGCAGTGATCAAAATCAAACCGAGGCTTTTTCCGACCAGCACCTGGGCAGCAAACTCTACAAACAAAGCATGCTCCTATAATGACCTTGGTAGCAGTTCTGGGTCTACCTCAGCAGTCCCATACGAACCGCTTCATGACATTTCAGATAGCATGGATGCAGTCATTAAATCTATAAATGAGCATACCCTTGGACGAACCAGCGTGATTGTTGTAAAGCTGGTGAATCTTATAAAGAAGTGGCGAGGTACAATCAACAAAGTCATAGGTGCCAGTCAAACAGCTGAGGACCGGCGGATCAAGGACCTAAATGCACAACTAGATTTCGATCGTGAAATCGAGCGAGTCCACCAAAACACGGTCAATGATCTTCTTGATCAAGCATGGTTGGCAGAGGTGCGCAAGAGTGAGCAGGAATGGTAGAAGAAGATGGACGTGCAACGGCAAGTGATCAACTCTCAGCAGCAACCAAACTAAGCCCTCGTCCGACAGTGTGCTACAGATGCACAATAACCATGCTCCCAAGATAAGACCAGTGGCCGGATTGAGGAGATGAACATGCCCGAGTCAACTCATACAGCTGCTACTACGCAACCGGAGACGCCTCATGCAAACAAAGTCAGCTTCCTCGTTCAGAAGGCGAAGCATCTGTCCAATCTCAGCACACAGCCCTGTGGGGTGCACAAAACAAAGGATGATGAAAGCGGCCACAAAGAAAACGCTGTGACGTCAATGGCGCTGGAAATGGCATTGATGCAGAACGGTACGCATATCAGTGGTCATACAATCCGTTCAGAGCCTTCAAGTCTGACGCGAGAAGACAAAATGGTCACCAACAACGAACGGAATAATGATCATTGGGGATCAGCTACATACTCGGGAGATAGAATGTCTCCTGGCAAGCACAAGCTGGAAGATTCTCATGAAGCCACGAGCAGACTTGAGGATGCTAATTGGTCGCGAAAGAGGGCAAGGACTGCTGTGACCAGATAAAGACAAACCGTCGATCTTGACCCGTCCCGGCGAGCAACGATGAAACAAGCACAGAAAGCTTCATATCACCGGCGATGCATCAGCCCATTGGTTCAGTCTGCGTACCTGCAGTCCTACCCTTGCTCATCAAAGTGCTTTTTGTAACTGGCAAAATTAGGTCTAACCATCTTACGCTTACTTCTGTGTACGCATATGTAATCATGTCTGAATGAACCGCCACTAGAACCCTCCAAAATCCATAACTGCATGCGCAGAAGATACACCGGGACATGGATGCTTCTCTGAGGCATTTCCTATTGCGAGCATTGTCCATTGTTGTGAACTCTAACCTGAAACAACAGGGTTGGCGAAAAGCAATTGGTAGATGCGGGGCACCGAAAGCAGACTAGCTTGAATGGTCGCAGCTCCACTCAATCGATCCACGGTCGCCTCGAGCACAATCATTGTTTCAACCTCGACCAGCAACACCTTCATCAAACACCTTTCGCGCTTTCACTTTTTCTTCTTCTCTCTTCATCAACGTGTCTACCACCTTTTACTAATTTGCGCACACTTCTCCACGACCTTTGAGAAGCTTCGTCGCCTCCCCTTTACGCGTCCCTGTTCGCGTCGCGTCAAGCCTACTACGTTACCTACACAGCCCAATCCTCGCGCAACCATGACGGAATACGCGAAGATGAAGAACGACGAGCTTTCAGCGCTCCTCAAAGAGCGCAAGCTACCTCACACTGGCAAGAAGGCCGAGATGGTCGAGCGCTTACAAAAAGACGATGAGAAGGCCAGCGCGAAGCCTGCTGCCGGCGCAGAGGATGAGATCGACTGGGATGACGACGAAACTGCTGCAGCGCCTGCGACAGCAGCGCCTGCTGAGGCCGTCACTTCCAACAAAGAGACAGTCGAAAAGGCCGGAGGTGAGGGCCAGCCACCGAACCCGCAAGCAGTACCGAACCAAGTAGCCGATATCGATCCCGCCAAAACCGACGACCTGACTGTAGACGCCCCAGCTGAAGGCGCCGTGGACGGAGCCGCGAAGACGGAGCCAGAGGAGAAGAAGGAAGAGCCCGCTCCTGACTACTCAAGAGGCCTTGCCGCAACGAACCTTGACGAAGAGATTGAGAAGCGCAAGAAGCGCGCCCTCAAGTTCGGCACAAAGTTCGAAGATGATGAAGGGCTTAAGAAGTTGGAAAGGGCTAAGAAATTTGGAGAGGTTGGGCCACCCAAGGGTCTTGATGAGGCTCTTCCAGAGCGCCGCCAGAAGCGTGGACGCGAAGGTGGCGATGATGCTGCTAGCAACAAGCGCCGCGAATCTGGACGTACTGGAGGCCGGGGAGGACGTCGGGATAACCGGAACAGGGATGGCCGGGATGATCGTCGTAGCGAGAATAAGAGTAGCGGTGGAGGGGGCAACAACTGGATGAGTGAGAAGGACCGGGCCGCAGCAGAGGCCAGGAAAGCCAAGTTCGCAAAGCCAGCTGCTTGAGCTTCGAAATACAGTGGTGATGGTTTTCTTAAGTTGGTGCAGGAGCGCCCAAGGAGCAACTTGGACAGAACTTCGATCCCGCGAACGGACCCAGCTAAGCAGCTTGGACAGCACCGGCGCGGTTGTGTTACATTTCTTGCGGGCTATACTTTCCAGACTGCCGGACGAACTGCGATTGTCGATTTCTCAAACACTTGGCGGATATATCAATTGAAAGCTGATTTCTCTACTCGGACGTTTCATTGTCTCTTCGCGGTTCACTACTTGTATATCGCCAAGCTCGGAGCTCTTCTCTTTAAGTTGTAGAGGCAGCGATCAGCAATCATGAGAAAACACTAGTACGCCATAAGATGTAAATGGGATTCCATTCACAGCATACGGTGTTTGACACTTAAACCCGGATGCTTTCCGCTATATCAATGATCAAACCTAGCTCAGACCGAGCGGATATCCACAAACGTTCAATAATGATATACACCGGTCATTCGGGACACCGACTCAGCCCATGTTGCCGGGTCGCGATAAGGAGTTATTGTTACATGCTGGTGCGGCGATGGAATGATCTGGACTTGTATGCAGCTCTTTTACCCATTCCAATTGGCACAAACTTTAGCTTGAATTGCTAATAATCGGCCCTTATAGTTGCCTATAGTAGTGCCGTAACACGCAATGGCGGCTGACATCAATGAACCAATGATAGATGTTTGCTGACCTGTACAAGGAGCTTGTCAAATGCCTTTCATTACTCTGCTATATGTCACGTGTAGGATCCAGTCACTGCATTACTCCGACCTCGGCAGCTGCCGTTCGTCCCGCACACAGACATGCCAACGCAGCCAAAGAAGAAGAGGCTTGGCTATTCCCAAGGATGACGAGCACATACGCATACGCTAGAACATTTGTGGGTCACTTTATACAACGGACCCATTTCCGCGTATGGTGTGTTTATTCCGCATATGATGTTATTCCGCATGCCGGACTACTCTCTCTCTCTTTTTGTTCCGAGCTCGATTTCCATTCCTGTACACCGGTGTCCTCACAGGCTTCGTTTTATCAAGAGAGAGTTTGTGTTTAAATATTGGCTCTAGTCCAGGTCGCCTGCTATAGCTTGGAATGACTTGAGTCGGGATATTTCCTTCGACAAACTCGAAACACCCCCGCAGTTGCTGGAAAGATCCCATTTCAAAGGCTTCATCAAGGTAGAAGGCAAAAGCGAAAAGGAGAAGGAAAGGCTGCGAAAACATCCAGATGACGTCGCATTCGATAGTCGGGAATAAGGAGCCCATCATCGATGACAAGGCTGTCTCGCAAGACGAATACAGCTGTACCTCATCTGAACAGCACAGCGAAGAGGTAGTCGAGCAACATGACGAACAAGACGTAACAGGAAGCACTAGCATGACACCAGACAAAGAAGCGCAATTAGATGCACGCTCAACACTCACTGCCGAATCCGGTCTGCCACCAGCTCCTGATGGTGGACTCCACGCCTGGCTCAAAGTCCTAGGCGGCTTCTTGATTTACATGAACATCTGGTGCGTCCGTCTCCATCCCGAGCATCACCCGTGACTTACCCCAAATATGCCAAGCAACATGTTTCGAAACATCATACACAAACATGAACTTGAATACTTACCAATATGATCTATTTTACAGGGGTTTCACTTTAACATACGGCGCATTCCAATCCTACTACCGCACTTCGCTTCTCTCCTCCTCCTCAGCCTCCTCCATATCATGGATCGGCACAACTCAAGCCTGTCTCCTAATTCTCGTCGGCGTCCTCTCCGGCCCACTCTTTGACATGGGATACTTCCGCTCCATGCTCTTCGTCGGCAACCTCCTCGTCGTATTCGGCGTCATGATGCTGAGTCTATCAACCAAGTACTGGCAAGTCTTCCTCAGCCAGGGTATATGCATGGGCTTGGGCGCCGGCCTACTGTACATCCCCAGTTTAGCCCTGGTAGGCGTATGGTTCGACAAGAGGCGAAACGTTGCACTGGGAATCGTCATGAGTGGGATTGCCGTCGGTAAGGTTTCCCCCTAATCCACTCTTATTTTGTCCCTTCGAAAAAAAAAACGAAAACGCACAGAAGTCTCTCACACATACACACAACAGAGAGAAAGAAGGAAGAAAATCAAACTGACATGTTTACACCAAAAAAGGAGCAATCATCTACATAATAATGTTCAACAACCTAGTCCACCGCGTCTCCTTCGCCTGGGCCATCCGCTCCCTCGGCTTCGTCGCCCTCGTCACAGCCCTCCTCTGCATCCCCTGCCTCCTCTCGGGCTCCGCCTGGCTCAACAAACCGCGCAAGCGCCGCGCCCTCTTCGATAAATCAGCCCTCCACGATAGCCTCTTCCTCATGTTCACCCTCGCCTCCTTCACCGCCTTCCTCGGCTACAACATCCCGTACTTTTACATCCCTACGTATGCCCGTGAGCGCCTCGGCACGGACGAGAAGGCTGCCTTGTACATGCTTGTCATTGCTATCGCCGGCAGTTTCTTTGGCAGACTGGCTGTCGGGTTTCTGGCGCAGTATATGGGTCCTATACTTACGTGGGCGCTGTGTTCGACGTGCAGTGGGATTTTGGCCCTGAGCTGGTTGTCGATTGAGGATGAGAAGAGTTTTAGGGCTTTTAGTGTTTTGTGGGGTATGTTTCCCTGCTTTCTTTCCCCTTCTTCTTTTCTGCCTCGTTTTCTTTTTTGGGAAGAAGAGAATTCAGTTGCTGATCGTCACAACAGGCTTCTTTTCGGCAGGTCTCGTCACTTTACCGGCGGCGGCGTTCGCTAGTATCACGACGGATATGTCCCGCTTGGGTACCCGCCTCGGTATGTCGTGGAGTGCGAGCAGCGTCGCTACGCTTATTGGCCCCCCTATTGCGAGTATGCTGCTTAAGAAGGAGAATGGTCGGACAGACTTCATCGGTGTGCAGTTGTGGAGTGGGATTTTCCTTTTACTGGGAACGGTGACTTTGGCTGTTTTGTGGGCTATGACCGTTAGGAAGCAGAAGAAAGGGTGGAAAGTATAAGGGTCAGGTATGGTGAATGGGATTTGTCACGTGGGTTTTTTGTGGGAGGTAAAAGTTTCCGTGGTTTCTACTTCTTACATATTTGGGTATCTGCATATACTGGGTTCAAAATGATGGAAAACATGGGTAAAGGCGCAGGAATAGGGAATCAGAAAAGTAAAAAAATTCAAACTCGGGGATAATACATATTTTACAGGAGGCTTCAAACAGCATACCCATATCCTTCACTATGCTTATGCCGCCACCACCCCTTCTCTCCCTCGCCTTCCCTCCCCCCACTCTCAGACCCCTTATCTGTACTCCACATACTTCCACTCCCCCTCGCAACCACAACTGTCGAGTTGCCCAGCGCGTGTTCCGCATCGCCTCCACTGGCAACGCCCGTAGCCCCCGCAACACCGCCTCTCCGCCACAAACTCGCCTGTAACTCATACACATCATCCTTCTCGCCCGCCAGCTCCTCCAACCTCGCACGTTTAGATTCAGGAACAAAAAAGCTCGTCAGCATACCAAGGAACATGAAGAGAGCGAAAATCTGCATGACGCCGTGGATCCAAGGTGTGGGGTTATCATGCGTGGCACCCCTTTTAATCATGGGCGCAAAAAATATCTGCGCAAATACCGCTCCTAGCTTTCCCATGCCCGCGCTGAATCCATGCGCCGTACTGCGTACTCGTGTCGGAAAGATTTCCGCGGGGGTGATAAATGTAGTGGCGTTTGGACCAAAGTTAAAGAAGAACTGAGCGAGGACGTAGAGCGCTAGCAAGTGCTTCTTTGTAAGATGTTGCCATGCAAAACCCAGGACGCAGAATATGACTGTTAAGATGGCGAAACCGGTGATTTGGATGGGTTTGCGGCCAAGTTTGTCGACGGTGAAGACGGTGAGCCAGTAGCCGGGGAGCGCGCCGGCGCAGATGAGCACGATTTGGCCGGTGGCGGTGTTGCGGAGGTACATGTAGAGGTTGTCGCCTTGCTCAAAGCCCATAATGGCCATGAGAGAGGCGGAACTGAAGCCTAGGCCGTAAAATGCGAGATCGAGGAAACTAGAGAGTGGTTAGTTGGTGAGGTGTTGGGATGGGGGTGGGGCTGAGGGAGCCGTACAACCAAGACATTGAGGTTCCAAAGATCCGGATAGCTTGACGCTTTTGTGAGAAGAAGCGGAATAGTTCTCCCAAAGAAGGTCGCGGGGTCTTGTACTTGGCCATTTCGCTGCGTGCCTGGGCCTGGGTTACGGGATCGACTTCGTTTCCTTGCTTGCCATAGCGGTACTTTCTCGCGTCGACGGAGGCCTTTTCGACATCGTACAGCACATCGAATGTGTATCTTGGTGTCTCGGGAACTGTCAGTCGGTAGTATAATGCGAACCAGCCGGGAATGCCGCCGAATGCAATGATGATGCGCCACATCTTGTCTACGTGCATTGCACATTCTCCTACGCATTCGCCAACCCCTGTTGCTACGACTAGATGGTCTTTGTAAATCACAACCACTATGAGTGTTACCAGTGCCGAAGCCAACTGCCCGAGGCCTTGCATTGCAAAGACGGCGGCTATGATGCCTCCTCGGTAGCGTGTACTGGCGAATTCAGCTGTAATGACAGCGCTGAGTGGATCTAGAGCGATTGTTAGCGTCTCTACGAACTTACATAGCTGATTCCAACCAGAAATTCTAGAGCTGTAAAACAGACTGGAAATCACACTTACAGTCACCGCCCACACCAATTCCCATGATTACGCGATAGAAGATAAGAACACCGACAATTGACAGGGTAGCAGATTCTCCACAAAGCGATTGCGCAAGGGTCGTTGCGATGATGATCATGAGCTCGACACCGTACATTCTTTTTCGTCCAAGATAATCGCCCAAGTATCCAAAGACGCACTGTCCAAAGATTGCGCCGGCGGATGTGGCAACTTTGATGGCTGTATCGGCATTGTGAGGCATGACACCACGGTTGTCTGCATCTTGCCAATACACAATGCCTAGCAATATGACTGTGAGATTGATTGCGAACAACTGGAGATAGTCGTTAGCCCCATGTCCGTATGGTCGGGTTCATTGTTAGACGTACGCTGTAAGCATCTGTGAAGAAGCCTATGCCAGTGACCACAGCTAGGCGCACATGATACCATCCGAAGGGTGCTTTATCCACCTCAGCGAGGGCCATGCGCCGGCGCTCATTAGGGTCTGCAATGTGAGTCTGGTAGCCCCATTAGTAAGGCCGTGGTATCAGGTTGTGTAGATCAGTACTCACATAGACGCCAGGGACATCTCGGTACGCCGCATTTCCAGTACGTCCGAAAGACGGCATGACTGGCAGTCAAGGTGAGTGCTCTGGAAGAAAATTGACCTTCAAAACCAAAGAGCACTCATAAGATTGGACGCGACGACAAAGAATAGATCAGGTTGGCTGCCTCGCAGTATATGGAAGTAAGCCGGTGGTATTCAGCGATCAGATGTCCCATGGAATCGCAAGCGAGTCAATATAGCATGCTCCAACATGCCACTGCAGGGACGATTTGGCATTACGAACGCAAGGTCCATGCCGAGGAGGCGAGACCAGGTTGGACCAGACGTCCAAAATACCATCCTGCTGGACACCAATTGGTAGAGAAGACCGAGGGGGCCAAGCCAGAATGACAGTAGAAGCCGGGCGATAGAGCTTAGCTGTGAATGCTGGGTGGGAGGCATTTCGGAGTTGCACCACAGGGACAAGCACGAGCTCACGTTTTGGCGCCTGATTGGCTGCACACGCAACCCTTCAGAACGACACCCATGCCAGTCTTGACATGACGGCACGCCTCGTGTCTCGTTCAGCCCGTGTACTGTTTGAGGGGGGCAATTGAGTTATGTGCCCGTGGGATGGCGTGACATATCCGCGGTGCCACAAACCATTGTATTGGGATGTTGTGGTGGTTTTCATCCTGGGATGACAAGTGCGTAAGCCCTTGGGGCGGAATGGGCACCGAAATTCAAGCCTTTCACGTGGGAGTAAGCAGCTTCCGGTGTGCTGAGTCACGATCTGCCGTGCTCTCCAGCCGTCCTGGCTTGTGCTTGACTGCTTGGTTGAAGGAGCATATTGGTGGCCGCCTCACGTCTGCGGGTCTTGCAGACGTTGAGATAGTATGGTTTTTGTGCACAAATGTCACATACCTAGTACTGAGCCGCGTACAGACAGCGATCTGGATCAGATATCATCAACCAGTAACACCGAATCTCAAGGGTCTTGTGAGCAAATGCTATTCATGCATCACCCTGCGGACAAGACACGTGCAAGGATTGTCGCGAGTCCTCCTGAAGTCGAAGGTGGATTGGGTAGCCTGGAATCCCGTGTGGGGGTCTTGGGGCGATTCCCATCTGGCTTCCGCAGATGATAGTCCACGCGTCCAAGGCGCAACACAAGTCTGCCTTCTTGGTATGCGTTTCATAATTTCCTATTCAGCTCTTCACATCGTGAATGAAGCCCTGATCCAATCAAGTCTACCCACGTGCGTCTGTTTGCCATGTCGTCTTGCAGGTCAGTCCAAGAGTCTACAGATTGCTAGTCCAAGCGAGATCATCTGTCCAATATGCCCAATACGAGTCAAAGATGGCATGTTCGAAAAGTAGAGCTGAGACAGGGTCCTTGATGTAGTACGGCAAGTGTAGACTAGTGGTTGTAGATTAGTACTCTCCACAGCCTCAACCTTGCAAAATATGCTTGGTACTCTAGCATCAACACTCAAGCCAGCACTACTGTGATGCTCGATTAATTGATTCGATCTGTGCACATTATGTGGAGGATGTCATCAGCATGTATGCTATCCTCTCATCTTCCCAAAGTAGGTGCGAGTGGTGCCGCCTTGGCTGGAACAGAGTTCGACCATACATGAATTTAGCAGCTGTGGGTGATTTGAGCGCGATGCAACGAAAATTGTTGGTATTTTTTCAATGTCGATGGCCGTTGCGTGATGATGTTGACGTGAGTCCTTAGGCTGTTCGCTGGTTGCGCTCTGGCGTGAATCGCGCTAAGCCAAAATTGACTAGTCTCACACAATGTTCGAAATTCGCTACCCGAGACTTCTCCAAAGCGCACGACAATTCGCGACAACACCACCCTCCGATACTAACAACAGCGTCACAAGGTATGTTCTTCTGCCAATTTGTTGCTACTGCCCAATTACTGACAAATATTTTCAACAGTCCCCAGCCAAAATGAGTACGCTGCGCTCCCACATGCCCGTTCGACCTCAAGCTTGGAGACTGACTATGATATAGCGAAGGGTACCTCCAGTTTCGGAAAGCGCCACAACAAGACGCACACGCTCTGCAGGCGTTGCGGTACGTAATTCCTCCCTGGACGATAGCACTGGACATACAGTTGCTTGGATTGGAGCTGTTGAGAGAGAGGAAAGACATCGGCCACAGGGACTGACGGGAAATCTACAGGTCGCCGATCCCTTCACATCCAGAAGCACACCTGCGCCTCATGCGGCTACCCTGCTGCTAAGACCCGCAAGTGTACGTTTACCTAGAGTGCAAACGCGCGCACACACCGAACCAGACAAGCAATTAACACAGGACAGTCAACTGGGGCGAGAAGGCCAAGCGAAGGAAGACCACCGGTACCGGCCGCATGCGATACCTCAAGACCGTCAACCGCAAGTTCAGCAACGGATTCCAAACCGGTACCCCCAAGGGCGCCAAGGGCCCCACCGTCAACTCCTCGTAAACGAATCGACACTATGAGCGGGTCAAGTGCGGAGGAGTAGAGGCGCGATGGAAGGCCATTCGGAACGGGTGCATGATCGTAAAGCGGGGTTCTTCTACAAGCAAATGGTATTGCTCGGCATGGGGCGTTCTGTCATCCCTCTCCCGGTTGCTTGTCCATCCTACATGACGAATGAGGATGGCCATGACCGTTTGAGCGTATAGCTCTGGAGGCACAACTACGGAAAATTTTCATCATGTTCTCTCGGAATGAAGTCTTGAAATGAAAGCATGAATCAAGCCAACTGCAGTGCCAGAACCTGCTGACGCCATGTCGTTTGTTGAGTGATTGGAAATATACAAAAACGCCGCTTTTGACCGCCAACCCTGACCTATTTACCCATCTCGCAGACTTAAATCAGACTGTCTCGGAAACAGCTATATGATGCGCATAGCATGTACTAATCAGAACATGCCACTAACAGACAACAGCCAGAAATTTGAACAACAACAATGCACATGTACTCTCACCTAGCACACATCAAAACCACCGCCGTTCCTCAAGTTTCTTCCACCACCTCCCCGTCTCACCTTCCTCTCTCGGCCCCACAAACTCGAGCACCTGATCCCCAACGCCAACCCTAATGTCCAAATCAAAAATATCACTTGCACTTCTCCTTTCCTCATGCGCCCCTAGACAGAAACTCGCTCTAACTCTAACACCGCCCTTCCTCTCTTTAGCCAATGGACTCAAATACGGTCCTATATCTCTCGCAACACGATACGCCAGCGCCGAGGGCGAGAACTTTGTCTTGAGCGCCACGGCCCAGCGATTAAACTCCTGGGGACGCGGCGCAGCACGGTGGTAGCCGAAGTTTGGGAAGTGGCCTGGGTCGACGGGCTGATCTGTAGTAGGTGACGCTGGGGGCGTGACGACTGTGAGTGCGGTGGAAGATGGAGACCGGGTGTCGAGCCACGACTGAATGATTTCCGCGTCGCGGTAGGAATCTTCGTGCCAGGTGAGGAGCCAGAAAGAAAGGACGAGTTGTTTGAGGTTGTCGAAGGAACGGAGGCCGGTGAGGAGGGGGTTGGCGATGGGGGTTGGGTGGGAGAGGATGGGGCAGCCGTTGTAGCCGCAGATTTTGAGTTCTTCAATGGTGGAAGCGTGGTGCAGGGCTATGGTGTGGAGGAGAGGGGCTTGTGGTGGCCAGCCGTAGTTGGGCTCAAAGGTGAAGTCTAGGGGTCTATGGAAGCCGCGGCGATAGGCGGCGAGCATGCCGTCTAGATCTTCGTTCTCAAGAGCGTAGAAGACGTCGGAGCCGTCTTGGCCTGGGTCGAGGGCTTTGAGCGAGTAGCCTCTTGCACCCCATGTGTTTCCTGCGGGAAATGATCCGCCTATCATAACAATCTTTTTGAGCAGACACCAGTGGAGGGCTCGGATCAACTCGCGCTTCTCGTCTCGTGGGATCCCGCCTTCTATCTTGATCTGCTTTACTTTGCGCATGTGCGGAGCAAACTCTGCGATGAACCTTCTTCGACGCGTCCGCTCTTGGGCTCCTTCAATTGTCCCAGATTCGTCTGTCACTGGCTCGCAGTGTCCCACATGTTGTGCGTCCATCCGGAGATCCGTCAGCATTGTAGCCATGTGTGCAACTAGCCTCTGCGATCGAGCCTGGACATCAACAGATGGCTTGGTATGGCCATAGACCTTGTCTATTGGCCAACCAAGACACAGGATCTTGGGGTGTGCCTCGAGGAAGTCAAGAAAGGTGTCCTCCAGAAGGTAGATGTTATCGGGAAGCTTTGTGAGTGGTAAAACTGCATTCCGGACTTGGAACGCGCGGAGTTGTGGAAATCGCATCTTGCTAAGCGCATACAGAAAATGCCCAGAATTGACAGGATAGCTGGAGCTTTCTTCTCGACGGCGCCAATGTACCCAGTCCAAATTCAGACTTGTGAGAGTAGATGCAGAACATGCGATCAGCCACTCTAAGGGAGGTCTCACATCAGGCGCAATCGGGCCAAATGTTGTAGGTGCAAATTCCACTGGATTTGCATCGACGTATTCTCTAATTTCCGGAAGCTCTTCCCACATGACTGCATCGAAAGCCTTTCCCTTTCTGATGAAATCTTCTGTTGATGGCTGAATTCCTCGAGTAGGCAGTCCTTCTTCGGTGAGATAGACCGTAGTTCTAGTGAACCCGCCAGCCCCGTTGTGAATTGGAAAATCTCGTTGGCCACCTCTTGAGAGTTTGAATTCCATTAACTTCAAGCGTTGCCTTTGTGTCGAATCAAACATTTCGTTTCCAAGCCTACGTAGCCGGATGCTTTCCAGACCAGTTGTCTTGTGTGGTAGAAGCCAGTACAGCGCGTCTTTTTCAAAACAACAACATTCTAGCCAGAGCTTGCGAAGCGGTACATTGCGTGGACGATTTTCGTCAAGAAAGCCTGCAACGAGCGCATTTGTGAGCTTCCAATGCCCGTATATTATTCGTAGGGTATGTACGTTGACCAAGTTTCGTAAGGCTAGTTTGAGGAGGATATGTAGTCGTTCGTCCTGAGAGAGGTTGTCGGCGTCAAATCGCATTCGCGGAAGTTCGCTGAAGATGTTCGGGGTAGGCAGATAGCAGCGATGGGTAACAACTTGGACTTTGGATGCGATGGCAGGATTGCTACAAGTGTCAGCGGACTAGTCGTGTTCCTCCGATCTTACTTACGTTGCCAGTATATACAACTTCTGGATAATTGGTGTGTCATCATGGTCGTCGGGTTCTCCGCGCCCTCTGTCACACCAGATTTGGTCGGTCTGTTCCTTTTTGTGTAGCGTCCACTGGTCGGACAGACATATATTCTGCCACAGGATATCGGTCGCATGTTGGTGGAGCGTTTGAGAGACAAGGGCAACGTCCCTGAGCGTGGGCGTATCGAGGTAGGCAAGAATGAGCTGGAGGAGTTCACTTGGGAGTGATTGGAGCTTCAAGGCGGATTAGCAGGGTTCCAGGTATCGGCGACTCGGACCAAAAGCTTTGGATATGGGAAGGATGTGGGGATAGTGTACATGCGGTATGTGGGCTAGGCTCGAGTCAATGTTGAAAACATACAGAAAGTGGACGATATGCGTCGCCGAGCGCTGTTTCGGGGGACACGGCGACATTCAACATTGGAGTAGGTATTGTCAGAAGACGCGCTCAGCAGCGCATTTCAAAAACATGCAGATTGGGGTGCCCGATCTCGCAAATTTGCTGGTTTTGAGTACCTGGTGTGTGAATTCGTGAAGCCTAGGCGGTGACGAGCATCAACGCCATCAGTGGGGTCTAGGTCTGGCCCCGCTTTCACCCGTTTGTGTCTCTAGTACGCACACGAAGGATGCTTGACGCTGACGCCCACATTTCCATCACCATGTTGAGAGTCGACCCTTCACAAAATATTAGTGTTCGATATCAGTGATGAATCTGCGATATGGTTGAGTGTCTTCGTCTAGGTTATGAGCCCACTGTGCCCCTGTTCATTGGATCGTCCCGTAAATAGATCCTAGCAAATCTTCGCATCCTTGAAGCCCTACGAGAGACACTAGATACTCATGCCGGTAGATCCCGAAAACAAATACCCACATCGAGAGTGCATACTTGCTCACACAGCGTGATAAGTATGCAAGGATGGGCAGTGCACTTTCTTGACTTTTCAAGTCAATAATTGGAGCGCTGCGCAAGATGTACTACTACAAAGACCAGCGAGCGCTTCAGCGCCGACTATTCAGCCTATTCCGACTGCAACCTATCTGAGCTCAGGATAGCATCGTTGCGCATATGCTTCAATTGTTGCGCTATAATCTAAGTCATCGAGTTGGGGGCGATGCGGTTGTGGCCTCCTGGTGAGACTGGTAGGTCGATGAGCGCGCCCAGGCGGTCCACTACTCCATGCCGAAAATCAGAAATGGGCCTGGCCTAAGATGCAGTGTCACAGCCTAGATAAAGTCAGAGTGGATGCAGTCGCACAACAGAAGGACGGACCATCGGAAATCGCCACAAGAATAGAAATTTCTTAGAGGCTCCAGGAAGTATCCCGAAATAGCGAGATCCTGTGTAAGTAAGATGGTTCAAGATGAAAGACCAAACGCCTGCATCAGTCTTACTACACATGTGACTATTTTCGTCGTAGAGTACCCTACTACACGCTTCCTGTTGAACAAAACGGCTAATCAGGTTCGTCGCCTCATTCAGAACTAGGGCTTCGGGAAGACGTCCCAGAAACGTTATTTTAGGGCTCCAGGTAGTAAATGAGCCTAATTCTAGATAGGCTCTGTGCAACCAGTGCATCCTGTATACGCATTAGAGTACCCTTGGGTCGATCCCGTTCAACAAATAATCGATAACAAGATTCTGGTAAATGAGAACCGTAGACACAGTTTATCCGTCAACGCGCAGTCTTTCTGCTTTAGCCTCAATTCATGCCTGTCTTATCCGTGCGATAACGTTCTTGAGCCGTGCTGTTGAGCCCAAATACCTTATTAAGCCTACACAGCCTAGTAATCTCTAAATTTGAGGCATAAATTTGGAAAAGGTGTCTATTAGCTCCCGTGTCGTCAGCTGAAGTCGAACAGTAGGTTTGACTTGAGCACGGTGACGCAAGTGGCAGGTCATCCCGGCCTTACTTTTTATGTGATTGCGATGTATTGGTGTCCTCGCTCGATGACGGCCAAACGGAGTTGCCCATGCCCCGAGGTGCCTTCAGCCGAACAGCTAATATACACAGTGAAGGCCGCTATTGCGTAAATGATGCAAAGCAATAAGCAGCTGATCGGATACGGGGGCTTCATGTTGATTATGGCAGAGGATCAACAATCCACCAGCTGACCCACAATGGATGCCACTGACGGGAAAGTCGTGTTTTTTTTCTGGCTGGGGAAATGGGCCGCCTGGGTCATTACCAGAGGAAACAAGGCAACACAGGAAAAGTAACAAGTACAGTTTCACGGCTGGGAGTGGCAGATATGATGACTCGGGGGGTCCCCATGTCCGTCAGAATTGATGTCGGCGTGGTAGGGTAGATAGTTGCCGATAGAGAAGCGGCCAAGGGCTTGTTTCGCTGCAGATGGGTGATTTGGCTGCAGCAGGGTCAGGGTCCGGAGCTGGGTGGGATGACGCCACAGCAGATACGTGTCGACTCTCCATATTTCGAAGAAAGGCTGAGGGACGGCGATAATAATGTTGAATGGGCATACAAGCGTCGGACATGCGACGTCGGCTCTCCTCAGTCAACTGGGGGCCCTATGATGGGAGTAGGCGATGCAGGCAGGGATGGACGTCTACTAAGCGGGCCATCGGCGTTACGCCTGCCGGCCGATCACTGCGCCTTTGTGGCAGTCATGCCTAGAATAGATTAGCCCCTTGCACTCCACACGCCAACCACACACCACCAGCATCGACCATCTTTTTGATGTGCGACTGCAACTACTACCCGCAACATTCGTCCTTTTGAAGCTCTGGCACTCCTGGGCTGGGAGCATGGGCACGCCTCTGAAATCAGCATGCACCGACCTGCAGCACAGTGCCGGTTCTTGGACGGTGAGGCAGATGCAGGTCGATGTTCATGGTGCTGCCCATGCACGCAATTCCCCAGTGCTGATGATGTACGACGACTCCGATAGGAATTATCGAGGGTTCGTAAATTACCTCGGACTTGCGTTGATCCCCTTCCAATCGTTTTCGGCTACCCCGCCGTCCTCTCGTGTCCATGGTAGCGCATCGGTTCGCGCGCCCAGCACCGGCGATACTGCAAGTGTGAAGCACAACAACATCAGTGATCGCTGTGGCGCTTTCCTGCGGCGATTCTTTATCAGCTTGCTTCTTGAACGTCTAACTGCATGGGGACCAAGAGGCTTTCTGGCCAGTACCACGCCAGAGATGCATGTCCACGATTCAGCCCAGCCAGGAAACCGCCCGTCTTTGCACACCAGTGAGGTCGTCGAACAAGCGGAGGCACCGGTTGCAATCAAAGCCCTTGAGCACGTCCAAGGCCCCGATGCACCGTCTCGGCTCTGACACGCAGCACCCTGCGGCTGTGCAGGGGCATCTTGATTTTGAAACTCCCTGCCCCGTCAGGGAAGATTGACGCCAGCAAGCTGACTGTTCTCTGCTGTGGAAAGGTCACTACATGTTCCGCCGATTCTATATGTAGTACCCCATGCACCCACATTCCCTGTATAAGCCCGGACGTCTTTTGTGACCTCATATTCAGGTAGTCCTCCCACCTGGCAGCGTACCCTTTTGTTCGCATACAGCTTGCCAGCATGGGATTCCATACCCTCCTATTAGCGCTTGCTTCGCTGAGTGCATATGCACTGTACAAATTTTGGGACTCATCTCGCCGTAATAGAATACCTACAGGCCTCAAGCCACTGCCGGGTCCAAAGGGTAAGACAATGACTTCGTACACAGAACCCATTCCTGGATCATCACTGAGCTCTTCTTTCATATGGTGAAGCAGTACATGCCCAGGCTAACTCGTGTTGACTAGGCTATCCAATCATCGGCTCTGTACCTGACGTCCCAGACAAAAATGGATACATCAAGTTTTCCGACTGGGGCAAGCAGTATGGTCCAATCTACCAATGCAATCTAGCCGGGCACAACCACGTCTGGGTATCGACGGATCAGATTGCAAAAGACTTGTTGTCCAAAAAGGCAGCCATCTACTCTGACAGGCCACACATCCCATCTTTGATAGACGACAACCGTTCGAGTGCGCAATATCTTCCGTTGCTTAGCAGAAATGGTAAATGAACACTTGAAAGCTATCGTAGTACTGTCCTGACCTTTTGCAGACGGCCATACACGCCAAAGAAAGTTTGCGAACATCATTATGCGCGAGTCGGAAAAGGCATCCTTCCACCGATACCCCGAGCTCGAATCGAAGCGTATGATGGCCGAGCTGCTGGATGAACCCGATCAATACAACCACATTATGGAATCTTACATCTCTCGTGTCACCTGTCGACTTGCTTGGGGCCACAGCGAAGGCAGTGACGAGCTGAAACAACGCGCACGTGAGCTTCTTATCGGCGTCTCTCCCACAGGATCTCTGAGCAACAAACTTCCCTTCTTGATGGCACTACCTGATTGGCTCTCACCGCCCAAGGCATGGGAAAGACGACGTGCACTCACCGAGCGCACATGGTTCCAGACCATGCAGGCACAGGTTGTCGAGGATCTTAAGTCAGGACAAGCAGCACCATCTTGGATGAAGACATTCCTAGATACTCGCAGCAAGTGGGGCTTCAAATCTGATACAGAGGGTGCGTATGCTGTCGGCATGCACGGAATCGCAGGAGCTCTCACTATTGCTGCTCCTATGCAGACGTTCTGTTTGGCAATGGTCCATTACCCACAATATCTGCCTATGCTACACGAGGAACTTGACCGCGTCTGTGGTGACCGACCACCCCGCTCCGAAGACCGACCCAACCTTCCTTTTCTTCGGGCTGTCATCCGCGAATGCCTGCGCTGGCGCCCACCTGTCCCTACCGGTATCCCCCACTACCTGACTCAGGATGACGAGTATAATGGTTACCATATTCCCAAAGGCAGTACTATACATCCTCTAGAATGGTGATTCTCCACTCGTTTATCAAACCTGAATTGCTCTAACAATACCACAGGGCCATTTCCCGCGAACCTGACCTATATCCAGACCCTGAGGTCTTCAACCCTCTTCGATGGGTGAAGCCGGAGTATCCGACCTACCAGGAACCTTTGACACAGTACCCTACTATCATTAACTCAACACAATTTGGCTACGGGAGACGAACATGCACTGGCCAGACAGTGGCTGACGAGGACATGCTCATCGGCATCGGCTCGGTTGCATGGTTGTTTGACATCAAGAAATGCTCAGAAGACTCCGCTGTTCCAGCCTCTGCGGGTGAGACCAAGAAAGAGCAAGTGTATGGCTTGAACGAGAAGGCCTCCATATCAAACGAAGAACTAAACGCTGGAATCAACAACAAAGAGGCTACCATGGAGGAGAAAATCCTTGCCAAATTCACATATCCTGGATCTGAATCTGCCAGTGATGCGGCACCAAAGAAGTCCAAATCTATCAACCCCACTTACAAACCCATGGAATGGGGTGACATTACGAAGAAGCCAGAAGATCCTACACTCGACTTCTCCATCTTGCTGATTGCAAAGCCAATCCCTTTCAAATTCGACCTCAAGCCCCGCAACGTTGAGCGAGTGAAGAAAGCCCGCGATATGTTTAGAGAAGGAGTTGAGAACGGTGACTTCCCTGACAGTAAGCAGTACTGGGGAGCAGACCAGGGACGTGGCCAGCCTGTCGGTTGGAGCAAGGTATAGAGCGTCTTTTGCATGATTGGCGGTGCTTTGCAACTCTTTGGGGTACTAGTACTTACCCTGCAGCATTTATCAAGCGTATTTATACTCCAACAAAAAGCCTCCGTGTATGATGGTCATCGCATCCAGTAAGCTCTCGTTGTGCGACTTGCTAGGGTGGATTTGGCGTTTGGGTTGACTTGGGATCACTCTTGGAGATTGTTCATTCACACAAATATTTTTTTCTATCATAATACCTAGCACAGAATTTACTATGTGATATCTGCATTTTCCCTCATAAGCGTCGATGAGCACTATGTCGAAGCCATGCCTTGACTCACGTGATGTGCACCAGCCTCGCGCCAGCCACATGTCGTCAGCTATTTGCCATGACCGCATCGGACCGAGGACCGGCAGCGCGACGACATAATCTCACCACGCCCGACGCGAACGACACACCTCAATGCGCCTACGATAGTCCAACCAGCTCTTCGCGAGCGGTAAATCGCCCAATCATGTTTGGTCTCCAGTTCACAGCCACGCGAACCCAAATCGCATCCTATCTCTTCGGCGTCGCGCTCTTCAGCATCAGCTTCCTCGTCTTCCTGAACAGTTCCATATCCTTTGTTATTACCCAGCGCATTGGCCAGTCGCATAATGTTGGCGATGCGGTCGGTACGCTGGGCTTTGCAGACGAGCTGGTTGCGCTGGTGGCATGTCCAGCGTGGGGCTTGCTGAGCGACAGAGTGGGCGTGAGGAGCGTTGCGGTACTCGGGTATAGCATTGTTGGTGTTGCGCTCTGGGTGCTTGTGCAGGCCAAGAATGTGTATCCCGAGTTGCTGCTTGCGAGAATTCTGTTTAGTCTGGGTGGGACTGCGACGTGAGTTTGGCAATGTCAACGGGTGGATGTAGGCTGATGTTCGTATAGCGCGACTATGGTTACTGCGATCTTGCCTACTATGACTATCGTCAGAGATGTTAAACCCGATCCGCGGTCACCAAACCTAGACCGTGGTAGAACGCATGCGACGGTTGCCTCGATATCGTCTGAACTTACTATTACGCCTGCGCGCTTCCGGTCAAGCTCTCCAGAGGACTATACGCAGTCGCAGCCAGCGAATAGAGATACCAGCGCATCTACATCGCAAATCGCTGGCTTGGTCGGCACATTCACAGGATGTGGCGCATTGGTTGCGCTCCTCGTGTTTCTTCCATTACCAACGAAGTTCCAAAATGCCGGCGAGGGACCCGCCCAAGCAGTCGCAGATTCTTTCTATGTCGTTGGCGCAATCGCACTGCTCGTAGCCCTGGGCTGCTTCTTCGGCCTGCGCGAACTTCCCGGTGAAGAAGGAAAAGGCTGGAAACGCCTCACCCACATGGGCGACTACAAAGATGTCGACTCCCACCTCACACGCGACGTCGTACTATCATACCCCCGTCTCTTCTTCGAAAGCGTCCGTCTCGGCTTCACCTCCCCCAACATCGGACTCGGCTACGTAGGAGGCTTCGTTGCGCGCGCCTCCTCTGTCGCTATCTCCCTCTTCATCCCCCTCTTCACAAACCACTACTTCCTCGCAACCGGCCGCTGCAAAGTCGACTCCAACATCCCTTCTGACATCAAAGTCGCATGCCCAGAAGCCTACAAACTCGCCGCCATGCTAACAGGAATAAGCCAACTCATCGCCCTCCTCTCCGCCCCCATCTTCGGCTTCCTCTGCGGCCGCTTCCCACGCTACAACATCCCACTCATAGTCTCAGCCGTGGCGGGTATAGCAGGCTACTCCGCCTTCGGCTCACTTACAAGCCCAGACTACAAGAGCAGCGACGGCACCGGCGCCATCTTCTTCATCGTAGCCTTGCTCGGCATCAGCCAAATCGGCGCAATAGTCTGTTCGCTTGCTCTCCTTGGCCGCGGCATCAACAATGATGAGGCCCCTTCTTCTTCGTCACACCTGCGCTCGCCGTCTCGAACTGCTAGTATGCATGGAACTACGAATCACCCTTCTGCCGGCGCTACCCCGCCGCATAGCCGACCAATCACTCCTGTAGACGAAACTGCCTCTTTGCTCCCTGAGCATTCTCGCAGGGCCTCGGTGGCAGGCATCGCACCGCAATCTTCCTCACATAACCACATCAAAGGATCCATTGCAGGAACATATAGTCTCCTTGGTGGCTTTGGCATTTTACTCCTTACGAAAGCCGGGGGTGCGTTGTTCGATAGTACGGGCCCTGGATCCCCATTTTATATGATGGCGGCGTTTAACGCCATTTTGCTTGTTGTTACCATAGCGGTTACCGTCGTGCAGGGTGTGAGGAAGTGGAAGGAGGCGCGCAAGTCGGATCAGAGGTTGGGCTTGGGGATTGGGGGGTTATAGAGGTGGGAGTGTGGTGTGGGCGTTTTTTTTTCATATGTATAGCTAAGGGAATGGAAAGGGATAATTGGCGTTTTTTTTGGACTAGGTGGGGAGCTTATGAGGGATGGAGGAAATGAGATGACTGCGGGTTTCATGGGTTTTCGTGTAACACAAGTACATACATATATCAGTGTTCTTTTTTTTTTCTATCAACTTTCATTCTCTCTCTTTCAACAAGTTGAATAAAAAAAAGTGCTGTTCGGGGTATCCTACGCACGCCCTCTCTCTTTCTCAACTCTCCCAGATCCATTCCAAAGCAGAGAAAAAAAAATACCCAAAGAACTTCTTCACATGCAAATATCTACAATCGACAAATGCAACTTTATCACTTTTCCTTACTCAAAACATCACTCCACAACAAAACATCCACCTTGCGTTTCGGCGCGTGCTCGATACTCGGTCTGCAGTCTAGATTCCTAGGCCAAGATTTATTCGGATTGACCTGGTGTGCCCAAACAAAAAAAAACGTCATTTTTCAGTCCTATTTTCTCGATTGGTATGGGCTTGGGTGACAGAAATAGGGGGCGAGGATGGTGATTTTTTTGATAGGAATAGGAAAGAGGGAAGGATAGGATAAGAGCAAAAGGAGGGTTTGAGAAAAAGACTCACCTTATTACTACCGGTCCAAGAAGTCATACGTTGGAGACCGTGAATGTAGTCGCGGTAGGGGTCACCAGTAGATTCAGAGGCTTCTGGTCGATTGGGAGGACTGATTTCACGAGCAAGCCTTGTTTGTGCTTGTGGGCGGGCATGTTTTGATGCAGAGGGGTGCGCGTGGGAGCTTGATGGGAGGGATTGACGGGGTCGAGCGTGCGAACTAGTAATATGATCCTGACGAGGTTTTCTGATCTGGCTGAAAGAGCTGGGAAGTGATTTTCGTGTTGGTAATTGTTTTCTTGGTGGGCTGGTTAGGGTGTCTAAATCTTCGAGTGTGATGCCGGCTTCTTCAAACGCTTTCTCCAGTGTCATTCTGCCTTCGACGATGCCTTTGCGGTATAGAGTGTCGCGGATGCAGTCTTTGTAGAAACGGTGGTAGGGTTCGGCGTTTTCTCCTCGGTCGAGACAATCCATGGCGTAGTCGCGGTAGTCTGTTCTGTTGCGGATGATGAAGTCGTCCCATTGCCATTTTGGCACCATCTTGTCTTCCAAATCTAATATGTAGATTTGCTTGCATTGGTTGTGGAAGTGCTTTGTATCGCCCTTGTATTCGGGATATGCAGCTTTGAAGGAGTCAAAGACTGTCACATGGCTGTATTGGTCAGATAGAATAGAAGCGCCTCGAGGCTGTTTGCTCTGAGTCGGGTACTTGTTCGCTGGTGAGATCTGCACTTCTTCTCTCGACTGAGCTTCTTCATAGAACCGCTGTGACTGAGTAGACCCAGTCCGATGTACAGGCACGGGACTTGGGTCGGCATACAGGCTCTGGTGTCGGGGTGATCTACTAATAGATCTCATTCCGTTGTAGGGTCTATCCGCGTTATCCAGATCCATAGCATCGGCGCCATGTTCCGCCGCAATAGTTCTTGTAGTTTCAGACCGACTCTCGAAACCTGTGCTCGAATTTCTATTTTCTCGAAATCTGCGGAGGAACTCTTCACGCTCATCATGCAACATGGTAACTGGATCAACTGTAACAGGCGAGTTGTCTCCAAAGCCGACGATCTTGATCCCCCTTCGCTTTGTATGTCTTCGATTACTCTTTGCTGGTGACACTTGGAGCTTACGTTTGGTTGATCCTGATGTGGGCTGAGGTGTGTTTAATGGGAGTTCAGAATGGGGTTCCTTTTGTGGCGATTTCACAGACTCTAAGGTCATATTTTGAATGGAGGTGGATTCCTCTTTGACAAGCAAGTCTTCTGAAATTCGGCGGTTCCCTTCAATACCAGCCATACTAGCTGTCGCTTCCGTAACCAGAGCCCCATCATGCATCTGCACATCTCGAGGGCTACGATTAATCGCATGTTTAGCCACTCGACCATGCATCTCCTCTCGCTCTTGTGGGTCTCTGGCTTGTTGTTTTAGCGGGGTTTTCGCCTTATCCGTGCGACTTGGCACGATCTCAACAGAGCTTGCAGCGTCGGGCATGTCGTAAGTACTCTGGATGATGGAGGTGGAAGACGTATCTTTACTCTCACCGCTGGAGTTTTGCGCTTGCGTTGAAATGGGTTTACTAGTTGGGGCGTGTTGCAAAAGCTGCGCCGTTTTACCTTTGCCATATGGTGTTTCCCTAACCTGAACGATAGATTGCGATCGGTTTGGTTTAGGACTGAGAACGTCGGGAATACTATTCGACGGGCTATCATTCTCTGCAATGTCATCACCTAATGCTTGTGGTACAGATTCCTCCATTTCCATGTCGTCGTCAGAGTCCGCGGGATTCTGAGCAACTGGCGGCGAAGACTGGGGCTGAGTGGACTTGTCATCAGAGATATCAATAACTTCAGGATGTCGTGATCGTTTATTCAATGGACTAGACTGTGTCTTAGAGGGCGACTCCATGCCTGGCATCTGGCTATCAGCACTGGAATCTGGAGGCAGGTCCAGGTGACGGTTCGCCGGCTTCGGCGGTTGCTCTGGACTTTGTGACCAGGAAGAAATCTCGGCACTCGAGTCATCATCATCCTGAGTGGTCTGGGGTACCGATTCTGCAGAGAGGTTGGTTCCTACCGGTACACTATCAGGTGAAGGGTCAATGTCAGATTCGGCGTTGCTGTTTCCGTCATCTTGAATGCTCGCTCGCTCATCTGCAATCCTATGAAGTGTTTGGAGGATTGACTGCGGCATATTTCCGTCCTGGAAAGGCGGGCAACCGGGCTGAGGCTTCAACCAGCTCGCGTCTTTCGCTAAGCACTGTTGTTGCAGTGAGGATACCTTGAGAGTCTCGCTATCGAAAATGAAGCCTTTCATCCAAGAGCATTCGGGAGCTGTAGCAGTATTCTCCTCGGAATCAATATGGGCGTCCTTCTCACCTACCGCCGGAGCAGACTTTGTGGGTTCTCTATCCTTGGACATGGAGAGTGAAGCCGCTTTGTTGGAATTTTCCCTACGTTTGGGAAGAGCAGGCGGGTCTTGGGCATCTTTGCTTTCTGTTGTAGAGCCGTGTGCACCCTGGTTTGATGATTCGATTGCTGGCTCTAAGGACGACTCTGCTGCTTTATCGGCACTTTTCTTCCGACCAAATGCGCCCTGTACGAATCGCGGCTGAGATGATGCATTTGTGTTACGTTGAGCCTGATTTGACACTCTACCAAGTAAGCCGAGCAATCTTTCCTGCATCGTGTCGTCTGCGCCTTGCCGAATCTCGATTCGTTGTGTATTTCCTGCCATCACTGGCTCGAGCCTGGTTACGCCGAGAACCTGGGGTTCGTCGGCGCGCATTCGAATTGGATGCTGTATTTGAGTCCCAAAGGCTGCCTGTGTATAGGGCATCTGAGAGACCGGACTGGTAGTGCTGTCTGGCACATCGTGACTCTCATCCATAGTATCAGCCATGATGTCGTCCACTTGCGCTTCACTACGCGACAGGCATCGACGGTCTTCACGCGTGCGGGTATCGTCCACCTGTTTCTGTGCCGTAACAACTGCACTCTCGCAATATACAGGCGGCAATTCTCTGCTGTGTAAGTCGCAAATCGTCTGGCAGCATTCGCCTAGCCAGTCAATTTGATGAAGCAAGAAATGGAACCTTGAGCGTGGGGGCCCGTACGAGGTGTATCTGATTGTATACCTACGTACGGCAATAGTGCTACCGGGAGCTAAACAGGAATACGCGGGGTACCGGATAGTAAAGTCCTGAGCGCAGTCGGGCGTGAGATGGGCGACTACGCGGCATCGGCCGTCAGTCAGAGTCCAGGGCTGGGTCTAAGAGCAGATTAATTAGGTGAGATGCGGAGGGGAGGATGAGGATGCATAGCGAAAGGCACGTGACACGCACCTGGAGGACGTGCAATGGGCTGTCGACTTCGGGGTGGATGTAGTTTGCAATGTCTAAGCAGGAGCCGTTGTCGTGATAGAGACCCTCCCAGGCCCTGTCCCGCTCAGGCTTGACGCCTAATTTCTTCTTCTCGTGTCTCTCGTGCAGCCAATGATTTCCTAGTACCAGCTGCCACTCAAAGGTATCCGCAAGCCAGGCTTTCAGCTGCACGGCCATGTATACCGAGTGTGGATTTGGCGGTTGTGGGCGCGAGACGCGACGCGTTTGCTCTGGGCAAGCCGGGCAAGGATGGTACGGGCGACAAAGTGCAGTTGAGAGGCACCGGCGACTATGACATGACAGACGCTCTAGACTTGAAGGTAGCCCGGAGACTGCCTATGCATTCTATCTTTCTTTCTTTCTTGATCTCTCTCACTCTCGCTCACTCTGTTCATGCTTTTGTTTCACACAGGCGCGCGCCTATTCTTCACTGCAGTGGCATGCTTTGGGCACCTGTGACGGTGCGGCAACCTGGCAGATGGCGGGGCGGCGGGGCGGAATGGGCTTGGCGGCGGCGCGTCATAGCCCGCTAGCAGGTCGACGGTGCCTCTGCCCCAGCATCACGAGCTGTTCTGCTGCAACTAGTCGCTGTAGCCTATCCTTCCTCCATGCCTATACACCTTACCGACTGGCATCTTTTCTATCAACATGTTCCATCTGTGACACGTCCTCGACTACTTCCTTCCTTCCGCCCTCGCTTCCTGTGCGGTACAGTAGGCCTGTGTGCAAGTGTGACGAAACTTTAGACTTCCACCTTACCTCACCTCTTATCAGCCCATGATCCTCCGTGAAGCCTGATGCCGCCCTTCACTTACTGCCGTCGCCCGCCTGCCGCCTTGATTTACATTCCACAATCTCCATTCCCTCGCCAGTAGCCATGTCGGGCGACTCGCGGCGGGGGTCGCTGCAGCCCTCACTGAACCAGCTGCACGCAACAGCGTCCCGCTCCGATACGCTCACCACCTTCGACGATTTCACTGTACCCCCCGCCCCCTCTGTTGTTGGCGAGCCCAAGGGAATCGATTTGGTCCAGGGTGGCTTCAGTGGCCTGTACAGCCGCTTGCGCGCTTCCGTAGGAGGTGCGAGGGAACAGCCCCAAGATGGGCACGGCAGCATGGCTGGCAAGACCGCTACGCCACCATCCTCAAGGCATGGAGTCGCCAATTCCAGCCCTGGTACTACTTCTGTGTCGTCTCCCATTGTTGCGTCTGGCCCATCGTCGAGACTACAATCGCCAGCGACAGCCACCTTTGCCGAAGCTCTTCCTCCCTCGCGCGACTCCAACATTTCTAGCACAACGATAACAAGCAAGGCTTCTATCTCCACAACCCGATCTCGACCCTCCGTTGCCCCGACTCTCGATACTGTGTCCGCTTCTCGACAGGATGACGCCTACGTCCTGAGTCCTGTCAGCACTCACTCCAAAGCACATGGCACATCCCACACAGACCTGCCGAGAAGCAACACGCCTCGAGATCTTGCACACCAAGACAATGACGACATAGATGATGAGGGTATGGCGACTACTGGGCTTGAAGGCTCAGTGGGCGATGGTGCCAGGTTCAAAAATGGAGCAGATGCCTCCCGTGATAGTTTGAGTAGAGTTACTTCTCGAACAGACAGCCAATATCAGCCTCCTCGCTCTGCGGCCAGCAAGGCGAGAGATCAGCTTGAAAAGTCTGCAGAGGCAGCCCAAGCCAACCATGCTACCGGAAACTCCCAAAGTTCATTACATAAACCCGAACCGCAACGTCCGCCCCTGCTTTCGGTCGGTCCCTCACACCTTCCCGGCTACCACCTCTCAAGGGCTTCTTCTTCCGATGGCTTGAGCTCTGCCGCAACCACCTCAACCATCCGCAATCCTACTGTGCCCCCCATCGAGGAGATTCAACGCCGAACCCAGGCTGCACCTGCGGGACAAAGCGCAGCACGGAGCACCTTTACACAGATGCGGAGGAAAATCTTGGACCGCGAGTTTTGGATGCGGGATGAGAACGCAAAAGCCTGTTTCAACTGTGGTGATGCCTTTACTACCTTTAGACGAAAGCACCACTGTCGGACATGTGGACAAATCTTCGATTCCAAATGCACTTCGATCGTATCTGGTAAGATCTTTGGTCAGCAGAGCAACCTCAAAGTTTGCAAGCCATGTGAGAGTATCATATACGGTCACGACGAGGACTCTTCCGATTTTACAGATGACGGTGACCAGGCTTCCCTGTACGATCATGGTGATCAGGTTCATTACTCGGACAATGAAGAGCCTGATCACGTTGAGAGTGATTACACGAAAATTGGAACACCGACCATTAGCATTCCCATGTCCAGAAAGATTGGCAGTGAAAAGAAGCGTCGACAGCATGTTATAGAAGTTGGTCCTCCAACACTAGCTCGCCCCAGTTCTTCGCGCTCTCTACGGTCTATGGGAGGCCGGCCACGCTCCTCTAGCCACAAACGGCACCCTTCCAAACATCAGCACATGCGAAATGTCAAGCATGATGACCGGGCACCTTTTCATCAATATCACGACAACTCACGCAGTCAACCTAGTCTGTCGGCTTTCCATCACGATAATATCATTGATCCAGATCTTGCGCCATTCATGTCTGATGAGGGCTCGAGTGAAGAAGAGCACGCCAGCATTTTTGCAACTCTTAGGGAAGACCCCGCTACTAGTGCAAACCTCGACACCGAAAAGGGTGGGTTGGGTGGCATCCTAGCTGCGATGAGGAAGGGAAAATCCAGAGCTGGTGACAGGAGTGTCATTGGCACAGGACACGCTCGAGACGCAGACAACGTCAGCATCACGAGTCGCAATGGCAACCGGCCATCTCGGCGGAGAAATCTCAGCGTGAGCAGTGTGACACATAGAGCCTCACCAAGACGGTCCAAGAGCAACACTTTGCTGAGACCTTATACTGGCTATGGTGCTAGTGGTCCAGGTACACCGCAGCTGCAGCCATCTCCATCACCAACACCCTCGGGATCAAGAATTACGCGTAGTGCATCAATGCAGGGCATGACACCCAAAGTCGAACTTAACAAAGCTAGTCTTGACCACGCGCGAAAGTTGTTGATTCAGATGCTCAACGACTCGGACGTACCACACGCATCCAGCTGGGAAAAGGCATTGATTCCAATTCTGCGGCAATGCACGGATGATGTCAATCCTGACGTGGACCGAGGGGACGACATTGACGTTAGAAATTACATCAAACTGAAGAAAATTCCAGGTGGCAAACCAAAGGACACAGCGTACATCTCTGGAGTTGTTTTTACCAAGAATGTCGCCCTACGAAGCATGCCACGGAGCATACCTAACCCACGGATTGCGATCATAACCTTCGCAATCGAATATGCACGGCATCAAGCACATTTCATGAGCCTGGAGCCCGTCATCGCACAGGAGCGTGAATACCTTCGTAATCTGGTCAGTCGCATAGTGGCTCTCGAGCCCCATGTCTTGTTGGTGCAGCGCAATGTGTCAGGCCTCGCCCTTGAATTCTTGGAACAAGAGGGAATAGCCGTGGTTCACAATGTCAAACCCACAGTGCTCAACGCTGTTGCTCGCTGCACGAATTCGAGGATGATTTCATCCGTCGACAAGCTCGCAATAGACCCATCCCATTTAGGATCTTGCAGCAGCTTCGATGTAAAGACATATGTGCACCGCAATGTGAAGAAAACATACATATTTCTTTCTGGATGTCAAAAGGAACTCGGATGCACAATCGTGCTGAGGGGGGCTAAGAGTGAGGAACTTTCGAGGTTGAAACGCATCACTGAGTTCATGACTTATGTTGTCTACAACCTTCGTCTAGAGACTTGTTTGATGCGAGACGAGTTCATAGATACACCTACAACTTCTATGACTGGTACTCTTGCATCTTCCACTGAGCAAGACGACCGGCAAGCACAGAACGTTGGAGTTGATTCTGCCACTCAACGGGCGGGCGATCAAGATCAGTCCAATGATGCCGCTCCCTCCTACTACAGCGATATGGTTGAAAATCACCGGACAAAGATTTTATCCTCTTCGCCTTTTGTCAAGTTCATGCAACCCTATCTGCTTGAACAGGCTCGCCAGTACGAAGCGAAATTAGGGCATCTCAAGAAGCTCAAAAATCAGTACACTGCTGATGGCCCCGAGGATGACGAAAAGGCTGGGGAAGTTGGCCAAAAATTCGAGCTCGTGCAACCTGAGATGGTTCACACGGTTGTTGAAAAGGCGTCCAAGCAAGTTCGAGAGTTTTTATCTGCTGTGCATGAATCCGAGTACGACAGAGCTATGCAGCAGTATATGACACAAAGACGTCAGTGGGAGCAATATCTTTCTGGAAATACCGATCTTTACGACCCATTCAATCACCAAAAAATTGCCGTCCTGTACAGCGTGGTCAACACGATAACTTCTACTCCCTGTATTGGACCTGAGATCATCGCCCTCGGCTTCTATCAAGAACATGATTACGACGATGGCTTCACACCAGACTGTACGCTTGGACAGTATGTGGAGGACCTCTGCACTTCAGCCGGTGTCGCTTGCGAAGTAGGCAATTGCGATCGAAGGATGCTCGACCATTCTCGTCAATATGTACACGGCGAGGGCCAAATGACTGTGGTTGTCCAGAAGTATCCTCCAAAACTGAAGGGCATGTATCAGACCATCCTAATGTGGAGCTGCTGTAGGATATGTGGTCAGGAAACCCAGGCTTTCCCCATGTCCGAATGGAGCTGGAGATATTCTTTTGCAAAGTACCTCGAACTGACCTTTTGGAGCACGCCACTGCATCCCCGGGCAGGTATATGCCCACACGATATTCACAAGGACCATGTCCGCTACTTTGGGTATAATCACGTTGCTCTTCGAATCCAATACGACCCTGTGCCAATGTACGAAGTCATTGCGCCGAAGCCCAATGTCACCTGGAAGGTTGATAGCGACCTGAAATTGAAGAATAGTCAATATCTCATGATTGAGGAGAAGCTGGACTGCTTCATGGCGTCACTCCGTGCTCGCATCCAAGGCATACACGTTGAAGACGTAATCCCAGAAAAGGTTGATTTGTGTCGGAAAGAGGTCGACTTGCTTCTCAAGCGCGCAAACGAAGAGCATGAATGGTTGAAAGCGAAGCTTCAAGACAAGTACATGAGCTCAAAGTATTACGAGATCATTCCTATGAACCGCGCCATTCGTGCTATCCAAGAGAAAGCCATTGCTTGGGATGTGACCTTTACGGAGTTTGAGCAGCAATTCTTTCCGACTGAGCGGGATATCCGAAGATATGCGAACATGCAATTGAAGCGGTTTCTGGAGCGCGATGAGTCGACAAGCTCATTGGCATCGGTTGAAGAAGGCACCGAGTCCGGCGCAGACGATTCGTACATGGATGAGAAAGAAGAACCCATAGCTTTATCCCCTAGGCCATCCAACATGTCCCCAGAAATGGCCCGTGATATGCTGAGTTCTGTTGTTAAAGAAGAGGGCTCGACTTCCGATCCACCCGCTGACGAGACACCTTCGACGCCAGAGAGCAAGACCCCCACATCTCCAAAAGCGGCCGCTGACTTGGGAATTCAGACGCCACGTGAGGCGATAGAACGGGAGGATGTACGCCACCTCGATTTGGCTATCTCATCCAATTTCCCGGACAGCCGTCCCATTGCCAGTGAAGAGCTCAACAATAGTCCTATCGTTGCTTCTGACCCTAGCAGATACGATGAAGGATCTCCTACGCCTACAAGTCCACCCAAAGTGAACCCTCTCGACAAGCAGCTTGCAGAAGCAATTGAAAATATGCCCAGTAGCCCAACGACCCTGCAGTGTGCTCCTAGTCCGGCTACAGAAAGTAAGATTCCTCGTCCGGTTGAATTGGCTAAGCGCGAAACTGCTGCAAGGCCAGCGTCGCTTGTCAGAACACAGTCTCAGCCGGGCAACATTGCAAAGCACATAGGTCCTTTCCCTGGATCGTCGGCCTTCAACAACGGGCCTACTACGCCAAAAGCTATTGCCAATGACAGCTCCAAGGCATTCGAACGCATGACTGAGCGACTAGGAATGGGAGCTCCTAAACAGACCAAGTCTTCCTCTCGTATTCCAAGATCTATCCCTTACAAGAGTCAAACCAAGGTTTCAAAGATTGCACAACACTTTGAACAGCTGTCAAGAGAGTTCCAGAACCAACGCATGCGTGAACGACGCAATGATCGTGCCCGGCAAGTGCGCGCTTTCCCGCTAGCCTCCTCAAAGCCAGTTGTCGAGGTATACAAGAATGTGCATGACGCTGTGCAGGAAAGTGAGGATTCCGACGAAGAGACACCTGCGCAATCTCCTTCTAGGGGCAGTCTTGACAATAGTACTCTCGATACCAGCACCTTTACGGAGAATGCAGACGACACAACCACGGCTTCACAGTCACCTATCGGAGAGCGTCATAGCAAAGATGGGCTGCTAGTACCTCCACCAAGAGACGACGAGTCGCCCAAATCTCGCATTCACTTTCCTCCAGACATTGACAACGATGTCAGTGATACAGAGACTACACCAGAGGATATTCCATTACCCGACAGTCTTGCTAGTTCTCAGCTCTTGAATCTTAGCGACTCTCAGTTGGAAAATTCGCTAGAACTACCCAAGCACGAGAAGAACACTTTGCTCAAGATTCTGACAAGCTTTTGGTCCGAGCGATCGGCTAGTGGTTGGACACCGCTTGAATACCCGTTTTCACAGATCGAACACGTCTGGGAGAACTCTGACATCATTATTCGGGAAGACGAGCCTAGCTCCATCATCGCCTTAGCTTTGTCATGCCCCGATTATGTGGCTAAACGACAGTCCTTCCGCGATTTGAGCACAGGTCCTGATGGCCATGTTGAGACATTTGAGGAGTCTGTTGAACGTAACCTACTCCATGAGGAAAATCACAATATTCGCTATAGCTTCACGAACCGTGGAGTGAAGGCACACTGCAAAATCTTCTACGCGCAGTCATTCGATGCTCTTCGCCGTAAATGCGGTGTTGCCGAGCGTTTCGTTGAGTCTCTTTCTCGATGCTCCAAGTGGGATTCCAAGGGTGGGAAGTCGAAATCTATCTTCTTGAAAACCCTTGACGATCGGTTTGTTTTGAAATCTCTCTCCCCAGTAGAGGTGCAAGCTTTCTTCAAGTTCGGGCCTAACTACTTTGCCTTTACGCACCAGAATCTATTCAAGTCTCTGCCTAGTGTCATTGCGAAGATGTTTGGCCTTTTCCAAGTCCAAATCAAGACGCCTACTGGCCGAGACTTTGATTGGTACATGCTCGTCATGGAGAATCTCTTTTACGATCGCGAACCCAACCGGCGCTACGACCTTAAAGGCAGTATGCGCAACCGAAAAATACAGGCCACTGGCGAGCGCGATGAAGTTCTTCTTGATGAGAATCTCGTAGACATTATCTACTCAGAAACCCCCATCTTCGTCCGTGAGCACACCAAGAAACTGCTCAAAGCCAGCGTCTTCAACGATACCCTGTTCCTCTCACAGAACAACGTTATGGACTACTCACTCATGGCCGGCTTCGACGACACAAACCGCGAAATCATTGTAGGTATCATCGATTGCATCCGCACGTACACATGGGACAAGAAATTGGAGAGTTGGATCAAGGACCGTGGCAAGAACAAACCTACAATCACATCGCCCCGCGATTACCGCAACAGGTTCAGGATCGCCATGGAAAAGTACATTCTCCAGGCGCCAAATTGCTGGCACCAGTTCAGCGGCAGGCTTGTGGGTCAGAGCATGGATGGACGCAGGACGATAGGTGATGGCGGGGCTGCTGCGCCGATGGAGCCAGGGCACCGGAGGGTATTTAGTAATGCAAGCACAACAGGGTCGGCGAGTGGAAGGGACATGGGCGCAACATTGGCGTGGGGGTCGAGTCCGAGAGACTCTAGAAGAGTCTGAGACTGGTGAGCAGAGTTTACGACAGAAGGATGAGTTTTCTTTGTCTTCTTAAGAGAACGATGATTAGCTAAGCATAGCGTTGGTGTTGAGGTAATTTGATAGCTCTGGGCCTTCTTCTTTCTCTCCCTTTACGAATATTATGCCTTTTCACTTGGCATGAGAATTTGATCACTGAAATATATTGCTTTCATTCTGTCATTCAATTTCCCTTGTCTTGCACCTGCTTGTTATAGTTTTGAAGGTCTGTGTCAAGTCCCAGCTGAGATCTTGTTCTTAACATGCACAGGTTGTTCAATATCATTGAAATACCAAAACAAGGGACAATATTGACAAGTAACATATATACAATTGTCACAAAGTAGCTATCTACACAGTAGGCGTAACCGCATAACCACATAATCATACTAAATTTTCAAAAGAGCCCAAGCCTGAAAGCTGAGAGGACAAAAGAGGAAAGGTCAGACGAGGAGAAAAAAAAAGAATATGTACAATCCATGCGACTTAGGGCCCTCTTACTCCTTCTCCTGAAAACGCAAAGGAGAAAAAGAAGTAGACTCCGCCGCATTGAGATTTTTTAGTCCACTCGCCCACCAGGGCAAGCATAGAGCTCTTACTTGGTAGCAGGCTTAAGCTTGTCCAAATCCTTAGACTGAACTTGCCATCCATCAGCCTGGTAACCGTTCTTGAACCACTGCGCAGCAGTCTGGTCGCCCTTGAGGGTCCACTTGGCCCAGTTAAGAATGGCACGACCGAACTTGCCGCCGTTTGCGTCACCAAGGGTGCCGCCGTGGCCGACGGGGATGTTTCCCTTCCACGAAGGAGTGCCGGCAGGGAGGTTGCGGTAGTCGCGTTCGCCCTTTTTTTTTATCAAAATTAGCATTGTGCGTTCTTGGGAGTAAAGGAGTGTGTGTGTTTAGGGAGATACGGGGGGGGACATACATTCTGGTACGCAATATCACCAGTTCCGCCAAGAACAAAGAGAACGGGCTTCTTCCACGACTTGGCGGCGTCGGTGTTGGAGAGAAGACCCGAACTAATGATTCCGACGGTGTCGACGCGCGGGTCGTTAATGTTGTCGGCGGCTTGGACACCGCCGCAGGAGAAGCCGGCGGCCATGATGCGGCTGGCATCGACGTTGGCGTAGCGGCCTGTGCCTGCAGTCTTTGTGATCCAGTCGATGGCTGCTTTCATGGTTTGGGCGGTGGATGAGCCGCCGCCGTTGAGGCCGCCCTCGGAGATGGCGAGGAAGCCGTTGGCGGCCATGTTGCGGAGCAGAGCGCTGTTGGAGCGGCCGTCGGTGCTGCAGGCGCCGTTGCCCCAGACGAGTACGGGGTACTTGCCGTTGGTTGGGTTGCCGGCGGGGAGGTAGATGGTGTGGCCTGGGAGACCGGAGTCCATGTAGGGATCTGTGCTGCCGGTTTGCTGGAAGGGGAAAGTGTTAGAATGGTGGATCCTTCGTTATTGTGAGATGGAGTGGTATACGTACGCGAGCTTCGAGGTCAACAGGCGAGGCTGTGACGCTGCCCATGGAAGAGAGCGCCGCGAGGACGAGGCTGAATGAGTACTTCATCTTGTAGAATGTGAGGAAATGCAACCAAGCCTGTGGTGTGTATAGAAGAAGAGAAAAGGCGAAGTCGAACTCGTCGATGAACAAAAAAGCAACTGATTCAGAGAATAGCAGATCGGTTTTATATGTATACACAGCAGTGTCCATTCATTTATATTTACACCATGCCCACCCGAATCCCCGCCACCATGTGAGAAGTCATTCATGGGTCCAAATTCCCCAAACTACATCGAACATCCATGAAGACGGGTATCCACTACACCCGTCCCCACTGCCCCCCCTTCCAAACAAATGTTTTAATTTGTTTCAAAGCCTAGTGTCTGTCTAATGTGTCAAGGACCACCCCCACTTTTTAGGTAGCCATGCAAAAAACATGCTCCCTACCTATTGTTTTTACCCTTCGGCCTTACTGACTTGTCGGGTGGAGAAGGGCTAGGTGGGTAAATCAGTAATAGGTCCGTAAGTATCATCGAAACATGGTGTGCGGGCCCGTGCGTAGAGCTTTCTATGGGGTAAAGATCGGAGGAAATGGGGGGTTGCATAAATTGGGTGTGCATGATGAAATTATCAGCGTGCTGTTATACGGTGTTCTTGTATGGGGGAACTTGTGTCCGGGTGCTGACAAACACATAGGTATAGCTAAGGGTCTCCGTTGCTATTGAGGCTATTGTCGCCAGCTGGTTGGGTCAACACAGCATGCCGGTTCTTCTCCGAATTGCACTGTTTACCACTTGGTTGGCTATAACGTATAACCATCGTCATCTGCGTGAGTTTCTTAATTGGAGAAGTCACGCGATTGTGACATGTCGTTTGCCAAGTGCAGTAGTGCTTCCAGTGTTAATATCCGTCAAGACGTTGTTCACGGCAAACAAAGGCTTGGCCGGTGGTTAAAAGAAATGCGACCAGAGGGTTGCTTTCGATATTGAGGGAATCGCGTATCGAGGAGGATCGTTCAAGATCTGTGCAGTATTGTTCCGGGTGCGGGGAAGAAGGAATTAGTGCACGCCGGGGATGCAATGCAAATTAGTGTCTGCGCCCTTGGTTAGTACGCATGCGGTTTAGAGCCGATGATGGCATGCATGACTGTGGCATTCTGAGGAACTGCCGAAGACGCCGTCTTTTTCTTCTTCTTTGGCCGTTATACCGTATTTTGAAACGGTTTTATTGATGTTCTGACATCACCCTATTATTCCTACACTGTGAAACGTGGATTAAGCAGTGTTCTAGGTGCGTGTCGGTGCGGTTCGGTGCTTACCGTGCATGCTACGCTACCCTACTTACGTCTCAAACGTTAAGGGTTTACATGTCAGCGTTATACTATCTTGTGTCAGTTGTGCTGACTACTTGCTTCTGCAATTTTCCATTGGTGTATTTCAAGAGTTCTCTTCTCGTACGCCCATCCGAAACCCATCCGTACCCGTCCGCTGCCGAGCGCCGAAGCTGACCATCACGTAAATTAAATCGCGGTGTTAGGCTGGCCCAGTGAAACACCCAAACACTTGGCGAAAAAGAAGATATGCCAAGAATTTCCTTAACAAAATATCCCTGCTTCCTGTTTGTTCCTTGCTATATTGTGAGTTGATAGTTCTCGTCATATTTGCAATGGAAGTTCCGTCATGTATGCTCCACCAATAGGCCTTGCAAGGTCGTATGGTTAATTCATCTACCTGGACACTATAACAATTTGACAAATTGAAAATGCCTCTCGATCAGCCGACAGGATAGGCTCAAAACAAACCGAGGCAGATCGTGGACCCGATCCATTCTTTCACGTGGACCCAATTCACCCTGAATACTGAGGCATGACGACAATCTGCCATGGCGGCAGAAACTTGGTCAAGATCGGAGATAGATCTAGGCATGTGAAACGCCAAATCGGCGTCTACGCCTGCACGATGTTAGCTCCCGCGATCCAAGTCTCAACCAAGATGCCTTACCCTGTCGTCGTTGGAGCAGGAGCACTACCAGTTGCAGCGGGCGCCGTGCTATCTTTCTTCCACGCCAAGACGCCCAGCATGAAGCTAACAAACCAGAAGATTGCACTTAGAAAAGCAAAAGCCTGAACGGCATTCCACTTTCCGCATAATCCCTCTCTTGCACTGATCGTGTACCAGTTCCATTTGCTCCCGCAGTGCATGACATCTTCGTACCAGTCTTGCAGTAGACCAAAAACGGCGAACCAGGCATCACAGAAGAGTAGATCGGCTACGATGTGGGTGACGGGGTGAATTGCACTAGAAATGAGCCAGATGAGAGACGCAATGACTGATATAGAGGAAATGATGGCGCTGTAGAAGAGGCGACCGAAGGGGCCGATATCATGCTCATGCTCGAGATAGAGAAGGTAACATGACAGTCCTAGAACGACGGTTGCGCAGATGAACTGCGCTAAGCGTAATGCCATAAAGGCGAAACGGGGAATACCCATGGTGTTCTTGGTGGTGCTGATGGCACTGACGGTGTAAAGAAGTGTGGTTTCAAGTTGAGAGATGTCGTAGTAAGTTTTGGATTTGGCGGATAGGAAATTGTGGTTGACTTGAAAGGAAAATATGGCGTTCCTCTCACTTTGTCGCTAGGACTGCGACCTTCACTTGTAGTTTACCTGTTGTGCCAGGCCGACATGGACCAACGACCTCCGAATGCAAATAGCTATTCCACATGCTATCTCACTTACTAATTGTCGATTTACTATTTTCAAACACTTCGGTCGTACGAAACCCACTTGGAGATGACGTGCCTTCACTGCTGGCATAGATTCCAATGAGTTGATAGGATACTAGCAGTGTTTGCTCCCTGCGCTGACACCCCAATTGGGCTTACGCCAAACAACATGGAATATAGCGAGGCACAGCAAACAACCAAGACAGATATTGAGAGAGTATGCAACTCAGATATCGCAGTCGGTCAAGACAACTTCCTCAACAAGGCCAGACTCCCCACATCTCACTAGCCCCTCTTCGTTAGTAATCGATCCTCTATCAGGCCCCCCACCATGAACCCCACCATCTTCCTCTCACGTATCTTGACTATCTATCTCTCTTCCGGCACTCCATCATCAAAATGGCGACGCCCCATGCCACCATAGCCATCATCTCAATTGGCCAAATGGGGCTCGGTATCGCCTCACTACTCAAATCCCACAACTACGCTATCACCACAAATATCAGTGGGCGCAGCTCTGCAACAAAAGATCGAGCCGAATCAATTGGCATCCAACTGCTAGACACAGACGAAGAGCTAGTCGCAAGCGCAGACTACGTACTCAGCATTGTGCCACCACGCGATGCTGTCGCAACGGCAGAGAGGGTGATTGCTGCACTAGAGAAGCAAAAGAGTACAGAGCAAGCTGCGTCATCGGGACAGGAAAAACCCGTGCTGTATTACCTGGATTTGAATGCGATTAGTCCAGATACAGTACGCAAGATAGGCGACA